AGCATTTGAGAAGGGAAAGGCATACTACAATCTTAAAATTTTTCAGTCATTCTCTTTCATAAACTATATGATAATGTGACTGCATTTCCAAAGAGCGTTGCATTTGATACAATATTGCAGCTTTAACTCCTGATCCTTTATTTCCTCTAGGAGCAGACAGTGTTGTCTATCTTTCTGTGGAGGGGCTGGTATCATCTGTGCAAGAAAGCATCAAAGCAAGGCGAGACAACAATCCCAAAGCCGACAAGTCCTTTGGAAAGCTTGGTCATTGCACAGCGTGTCTCACTGGAGAATATCCCGTTGAGCTAGAATGGTGAACTTTTAGGGGATGGACATCAGTTCATACCTTGTTGAATGTACCTTTTTCAATGATGCCTTCTTGCTACATAGCCTTCTTGCATTTAGGTCAAACAGAAGCCTTATGACAGTTACCTAATTACTGTTACTAAAACACATCTTTAAGTAAAGACTTACAGAAAGTCCAATGTGCTGATGAAAACAATGTAAGTAGATTAAAATACAAAATCATATAGTTTTGATGCACAGTTGTGCCTTCTATTTTCTCACAAAAGGCTATAAAAACCAAAGGATTTTAAATTATGTAGAAGTCCCAAAGTTTGTTGTTTTGGTCTTGCCCTAAAAGCTCCCCCATTAGACTTGTTCACAAAGCACAAATCATGTGATGATGTAACTTGAAATTATCAAAGTCTTAGTGCAAAAGTATCTGAAGTTTGCTTTTCTCCTTAGGACAAATACCAGATTCTGAAGACTGAAATTGCTTTCTCAGCAGTTGTTGCTTTGGCTTTTTAAGAATAGAAGTCTCGAACTTCTGCATACAGCCTTTTTTAATTGAGGCCTATGTAACAGATCCTATGCATACGATGTCTGACATGATTTTTAAAAATGAAGACTCAGGGAAATGCTCAGCCAAAAAGATCTCTAGTTTTGTAACTTTAAAATTCTGTTTTAAAGTCATGTAATTACATTATCTTTTGTGCTTCTATCAATTGCCAATATAGTGTGGAAGAACTAAAAAATACTTGGCACTGCCATTCTTTTTTCTGTTTTATGCCTTGTTTTCTCTGGCATGTCTGACAATTTCTAAGTGTACTTTTCATTCGTCAACATCCAAAGTAAACTAAAAAACCACAAACTTTCCATACTTAACAGTAAAAACGATATATCAAAGGAAGATCATGAGTTGTTTTGGTTATAGTCTTATTTTAGTACATTACTGCTGTTAGAATAAATGTAATGTTTAAAAAAATTCAAGTGTTCTGAAGAACCATTAGCTGTTAAAGACAATGTGTTCTGCTGGTCACAATTACAGTTACTGGTATACAGGAAGATCACTTGGACAATGAACCACTAGCTGAAAATGGAAAAGCACCTTTTCATAACTATTGCAAATTTCCGCACAATTTTTAAAATAGTTTGTATACCTCAGTCTTTCTCACCGAATACCAGCGACTTAATTTTAGATTTTCTATTTAATATTGTGTATTTTGGCCTTATAATTGTTTGTGGCACTGTTAAAAAAAAATAAATAGAAAAGTTTAACAGCTTCTTCCTTTCCCATTATTTACCATATAGTTGAGAATTACAAGATTGCTGATTAAATTCGAAAGGGAGTTTTATGTGGGATTTGTAGCAATTGTGCCTCATTGACAATCACAACACTAAAGTCCTACTTTGAAAATGAAGTCAGGACTGTGACTTGTGCAGTGGAATCAGAACCTACTTGCAGCCAAACCTGTAGGAGAACCTAGATGTGATGAGCATGGGGCTTCATCAGCACCTGCATATTGGGGGATGTATGTGGATCTCTTCTAATTAGCAAGTTTGGTTTGTTAAAAGAACCATAACAGTCCATCTGGACAGTAAATTGGACAAAACCAGAACAGGCCTGCACACTGACCACCCCCTCTTCCAGGTTAACCAGGAAATAGTATGAAAAAACCAGGAAAACTGTTGTGAACATTTTTCATTGTTCTTATTTCCCACCATCAAAAGAAAATAATTTTCAGAAGGGCTAAGCTGAGGTCTTAGATTACAAATACATCAAATACAAATACAAAAAAGAGCCCTTTATATGTGAGATAAACATTTAGATGCACAGTGTAAGAAGTCTGTATGTCTGAAATAGTCCACAGGACTGGAAATGAAACTTGTGCAAATTCTCTTTAATGTGCTTTGAACAAAATGCTATTTTTGAAGTCTCCTAATAGTTGTTTTATCACTAATTAATGTGATTTGATCATTGGGTCGCATAATTCTAATTTCAAAAAAAATTAGTCCTGTTGCCTTTTCCCCCTCTCCACATTATGGAAAGGAAATTCTGTCTGCTACTGTGAACACTATAATTTTTGGATGCACTGCAATGCTAAATCTTTATTATGTATTTTTCAAAATCTTAAGAGGAGATACTTTTAAATGTCATTCTATTCTGACAGCTGGATTTATGCTTCAGGTTACTAGACACAATCACATACAGCCAACACACACACCAGTGAGTGTGCTGAAGAAAACTCTGGCTTTAGGTGTCGCTATTTCCATTAATATTTTACTGTGAAACCATTCCTGCTCTATTACCAATGTGCAACTGTGCCAAACTATCACTTAGAGAATGTGACAAACAGTAGAAAGCTGATGTCTAACTTCTCCCGTGCAAATATTAAAAATGGCTGTGGTCTTCTCGTTCTCTCCGTGAGGCAACACCGGCACCATGCGTAGAGGTTTTTAATGACACCTTGAATGCGCCTCGGAGGCAAAGCAAATCATTTCCTGTGAGGGTGGAGAGGCACTGGCACAGGCTGCCCAAGGAAGGCGTGGATGCCCCATCCCGGGAAGTGCTCAGCGCTGGACGGTCCATTGAGCAGCCTGGTCCAGTGAAAGGTGTCCCTGCTCGCAGCTGGGTGCTGGCAGTAGAGGATTTTTAAGGACCCTTCCAATCATTAATATTCCATGGTTCTATGACTTTGTGTCATTAAATCAGCACGCGGCCCCCAGGGCAGTTCCGGTGCCCCTTCCCCCAGCACGGCTCTCGCTGCCATCACCCTCACTCCCCGCTGGCCGGCCTGAATCGCATCCGGGGGGAAGCCCAGCCCCGGCCGCTCACCGCTCGCCGCCCGGGAGCCGGGCATGGGCTGGCTGCAGGGCCGCCCCTGAGGACAGTCAGGGATCGCTGCAGGGACAGCTCCTGGAGCGGCACAGGACCCTCCCGCTCCAAGCACCGGGCAGGGCAGAGCGCCCGCCCCGCAGCCCGGACGTGACATCGCCGCCCGCCCGCCCACGGCGGTCCCACCGGCAGGAAGGCCCGTACCACCTCCCGGGCCGGAGGGGGAGGACACACGGCGACCGAGACGAGTGAACTGTGAGCGTGAGGGGGAGAACCCTGCCCTTCGCCTGAGCCATCTGCATTTGTTTTCAGCACTTTTCCCATGTCTTCAGGGGACAGCGGGGAACGCTTTGGGGCGCTCGCTATCCCTCTCTCCCTCTCTCCTTCCCTCAGGAAGCAATAGCGCGTGGCTCTGGCGGAGCAGGCGCTGCTAGTGCGTACCCAAACGGCACCACGGCCGCTGGCCAATGAGAGCGCGGCATTAACTCGTCCCGCCAATCGGAGGCGCCGCCGCTGTTGGGCTGGGGCGGGGCCAGGAGGGCACCGGGAAGTGCCGCGGGCGGGGATCCCGAGGAGCGCCGGAAGCTGCCGGTCCGTGTCTGTCCCCGTGTCTGTCCGTGTCCAAACGGGGTAACCTGAAAGACGAGAGCGGGGACCAAAGCCTGCATCCGTCCGGTCACTGGTCCGACCTTGGCGGGAGGGCTTGCGGGGCAGAAACGGGCATCAGCACGAGCAGTGCCCCAAAAGTTCACGTGTTGGGGGTTTCTGCTTGTGAAGGAAGGATTCATATTTCACAATTCCATTGAAAGAGTTACTAATTAATTAAGCTGTGTTAATGAATTTATCAATTCAGTGATGCCCAGCTTTAAAAATGAAATTGTAACCGTGAGGAACAAGTTACCTCAGTACAAGTCAAAAATCCAGCTTTGCACCTTTTGCAGTCTGAGGCGTGGTAGAGCTGTGTATTCTCTGCCATGGCTCTTGTTTTTTCCTCTTTGTTGTTTTGGTCTTCCCCTAAAAATTTATTTTTTCCTCTCCTTTCTGGCGGTGTAGTTGTAGTTGTAGTACACCGTTGTAGTTCGACTGAAGCGTTAAAGTGAGGCGGTGTCTGGTGTGTGGTTCTTGCATGTGAAAAATGCATATTTTATGATTGGCTTTTCGCAAATATTAAAATGAATATTATATGTGTTGTTTTAGAAAGTAATGCTGTATTCTCTTAAGTAGTGTGGTAAGTATAGTTTTAGGTTATAAAAAATGTTAAAATAGAAGCTATGCTATGTAGGATACTTTTTTTAAAGAAAGGACTTGCAGCGATAGAGCAGCCACAGGACAGCTAAATCTTTCAGAGAAAAAGAATTTATTGCCCTCTTATCAGAAGAAATGAACTTCTTCCTGCCTCGGAGGCGCTGTGAGGATTCAGAGGAAGAAGTTGACGATGACCAGACAGAATCCTGTATTTGAATGGAATTTATGCATCATGTGTGAAATGTATGAATATGCAACAAGTTGTTATTTTTAAGGGTTAATCCTCTGTTAACGTGTGTCCTTTTTCGGGCTCGTGCTGCCCAGAAAAAGGTACCCGGACATCCGGAACTCTTTGTCTCTATTGCCTCATATTGTTCTAATTCAAATTGTCCAAATTACTATTACCCTTAATTACATTACTATTTTCATAACCATTTTATTCCTGTTCAACTCTTTAACCTTTCAAACCCCGCGGCCGGCGTTTTTCCCCTGCAGGCGCTGCGGGCGCGATGGCGCTGGCGGCGCTGGTGCGGCGGGCGGCGGGGCGGCACCGGGAGCGGGCGGCCGTGCGCTTCCATGGGGGCCGCGGGCAGCCCCCGGGCCGCCGCTCCTACGGCGCCGTGCTGCGGCTGGCCGGGGAGCTGACAGCGTTCCTGCAGAGGCACTGCGACCCGCGGGGCGGATGCGAAATAGGCCTGTACTGCTATCCGGGAATCAACCTGCCCTCCTGGATCTTGGGGTAATGGCTTGAATGCTTGCACTTCTGTGTTGGTTTTTTAAGGGTTATCTCTGTGAAAGCAAATTTTGCAGTTTGTTTATATTTTTAACAACAACAAACATGTAGTAATAGCATAGTAGTGCCGTCCCAGTGCTGGAGTCTTCCATCATTTAGGGAAAAAGATGGCAATATGACAATCTTCTGAAAACCCATTGATAAAACATTTCTGAATCTCAAGCCTTAAAGCTGTAAACTGTCTGTAACTGTATCCCTTCATTAAAAGTGATCTAACATATTTATTAAAATTAAATTAAAAATTTAGTTTAAAAAGAAATTTTAAAAAATTGACCAGCATATTTACTCTGCTTGTTTAAAACTGGAAGTGATCTGACAGAAAACATCTATTGAGAAAAGGACTGTGCAGGTTTTTTTAATGAATGGTCTTGCTGGCTATAAAAAGAAAGATGTTCTGAATGCAGATTCCATGTTTTAAGGTAAATGAACATACATTTAATGTTCCATTATGAATATTACTGAAGGAAGTAATGAGCATTGTAACTAAAGTGGTGTGGATTAACTGATGGCTAGGAAGTTGAAATGGTTGTGATCTCAGCACTCATGTTAATCCATGAATTTTTAAAATCTTGCTTCTGCTGAGGGATTCTAATTGTGTCCTTTATATAGGTATCTTTTGTATTCCTAGCATTTATGGTGGAATAGACAATCACAGGATCACTAGCCTAATTTTTCAGCTGATGAATACAGCAGCAGTTGTGCTTCCTAGGGCATGGCCTGTGTTGGTATCTTCCTGTTGTTCACACCTCATGTAAAATACAGAATGGTACCAGAAGAGGTACCACAGTGGAGGATAAGGATTTCAGGGGAATGAGAAAGCGGTGTGATCATAAACCCCCCACAAGCACTGAGGAACTTTCTCACCAGTCAGGAAATGTTTCTGCCCCGGTGCAGCAGGTTGCTCTGAGATGTTGTGCAGGCACATCTCAGGAGGTGTTCAGAACCTGACTGGACAAAGACCTGAACAACCTGCTCTGGTGTCACAGCTGGCTCTGCCTGAGCAGGAGGTCAAACTCAGCATACTGATGTCCCTTGCTGTCTGATTTGTCCTGTATCCCAAAGAACTGAGTATAACAGGTTTCTTTTGCTGTGTGAGGGGGATGGATGTGCTGGGGCTCTTTGATTCTTACAGCTGTCATTGGGAGTAGCTGGCAGCTGTGTGATGCAGGGCAGGCTGAAGCACTTTCTGGCACAGGGGCTGTAGGAGCATCGGGATGCTGCCCTTGCCACGTCTCCCTTTGGGACCTTGGTGCTACCGCAGTGACAAACTTCTTGCACAGAGAGGAAATATAATGAATAAACTGTATGTACAGTACAGGACATATGTACAGTACAGAACCCAACAGCAGAGCAGATGTGAGGAGTTTTGGGGTGGTTCAGCCCTTGTGGCTCTCTGGGAGCGCCATTGGAGGATGCTGGGCAGGGACCAGGAGCGCCAGGACTTGGAGCTCCTCCGCCTGCCTTGTAGGAAAGACATCCCAGGCCTGCTTAGATTTTCTTGTGCTGCATTCTTTGCACTCGCAGGAAAGTGTTTTCAGCCTGCAGGGTTTTGTTGTTTTTTACAATACGTTTATATGTGTTGTATGTGGGTCAATGGAAAGGTTGTATTTTTGTTTCTAGTCAATATCAGAAGGTTTTAAAATGTGATGCTGTTGATGTCAGTGATACTTTTGTCATCACTGACTTGCTTGGCCTGAAATAATATTGAATGTTTTCATCCAGCTTTAGTCTCTTGCCTTGCTGTAAAAGACCAAAAAGCAACACTGATTTTCATCCTACTTTGTTACCAACAAGATCTTTAAAAGTCATGTTATAGCTATATTCTCTAGCTCAGGCAACTATAAAGGTATAAAAGAAATTTTAGCAAAATCTAAGAGGATTTTGTAATTTTTTAAAATTGTTTTAAAACACTCGTGTTTTATTAGAATCCTTCAAGTTCCAGCTGCCTATTCACCTATTGATCCAGATGCACCACCAACCATATCTACTTACTTCATGAAGAAAAGCAACCTGCAGTATGTTCTTGTTGAGAATGACAAGATAAATGTAAGTGTTCAGGCTTCTATAAGAATCATTGAAGGGCAATTTAGACGTGTAGATATGCAAATTGAATTATGTTTTAATAAGCTTGGATGGAGTGCTTTTGTTTTTTCATGGCAAAAGGTTGTCGTTCTCATTCAGAAAGGAACATCTTTAAAATCAAAAGTACAAAATATTTCTCTGTTCTTCAAAATAATTGCCTTCTTTCCTGTTACACTGTTGTTCAGGAAACCTTTTTGGGTGCTAATATTGGAAGACTTTTCCAGACTTGTTTCTTTATATATCAATGCTAAGAGTTGGAAATCTGCAGTAGTTAAAAAAGCTCCTGCATTTAATACTTGGGTTTCTCTTTGTCTAACTCATCCCAAATTTTATACTCTCACTCATTGCAAAGGGAATAGGCAAGTTACAATTCAGATTCCTTGGTCTTCTGCAGTGGTTTTTTTTTTATATTTTCCATTTGCTCAGATTATTTTGCATTTATGAAGTGTGCGTTCACTCATATTTAATTTGTAGAAATACATGAGCTTATAACTGTCTGACGTGTGTCCTCCTAGAGTAGAGGTATGAAAAATCAGAATTGCTTGTATGAAATGCTGGTTTTTGTTTCATTGCATGCATGAAATAACAACAGTGCCTCCTGAGTTCCACTTTTTTAATTGTTCATTTTCTCTTGCAGAAATTCCAGATGTCCCATGCTGGCTGGTTTTCCCACAATTCCTCTACCATAGAACATATTGGTTTAACTCTCTTCCAAAGGAGCTCAAGCAACACTGATTTCAGTTCAGAAGTAGACAATATGAAAAGTAGATGTGAACCTTCCAAAGCTGTGGGTGACTCACAGCCAGGAGTTTGCTCAGACCAAGCCAAAGTAGAAACATCAGAAGCAGGATACATGGATGCTGGCCAGAAAGACACTGTGGCATATGTCTTGCATACATCAGGAACCACAGGGATCCCCAAAATAGTCAGAGTGCCTCATAAATGTATAGTGCCTAATATTCAGCATCTTAAGTAAGTAAGTGTGGTTTTCATTTCAAATGCTTTTACAAATTTAATGCTTTTAGGATTTTTGTGTAATACTTCAGAGTGTACATAGGGGTTTTGCTGACACGGCTTCACTTCTTCCTCCTTATCCTCCTTTGTGGGTTTTTTGCTTTTATTTCCAAGTAGACTCATATAACAGTTTATTTCTCTATCAGTATTATACTTAAATGGTGCTTTGCCTTCATTTTTGAGGGCTGTGTTTCAAATAGTGCGCTGTTGCTCTAAGTTTTGTACTTACATCCATCTGGCTTGTGGTTTAAAAGAAATAGACAATAAAATTAATCATTTGTTCACAGTTATATTTACTGTGTTCTGTAGCTCTTAATTCATAATTCTTTTTTAGGCTAGCCAGATACCTTCTGTTTCATTTCATATTAAATAAATTATTATGGAAAATACGATATTTTTCCTGTCTTGTCTTTTCCTTTCTTCTTCTTTGCTTTTTCTTTTTTCATATTTATCCTTTTTTAATGAGCATCTGTTAGTCAAAATATGCCTTTCTGTGAACTCTGTTGGTGTGTAATAAAACACATAATTAGTGAAGCCAACAGTTACTGTCCAGGAGCTCTTGCTCAAAGTACAGGTCTGTTATTCAGAGCCTTTAAGATCTGAGCTTTGCTAATGCATTTCTTTCATGCTTTCATTCTTTTAGTTGGGAAGGGTTTTTTGACTGCATGCATCAGATTTGTAATTCCTTGCTTTCTTGTTTTAGATCCATATTTGAGATCACACAGGATGATGTGCTGTTTCTGGCATCTCCCCTCACATTTGACCCGTCTGTGGTTGAACTGTTCATGGCTCTGACAAGTGGAGCCTCTATTCTTATCGTACCAAACACCATTAAAATGATGCCTGTGGAGCTCTCTGCTGCTCTGTTTCACCACCACCACGTGACAGTGTTGCAGGTAGGCCAAATCTGTGTGTCTCCAAAGGTGAGAAGTGTCTTGCTTCTCACCTTTGCTAATGGATACTATTTTTTGTCAGCCTAGACTCTACTGTTAATAGGACAGGAGTGTTCTTGCTCAAAGGCAATATAGCTATCCTTTTTGTTGAAGACAAACAGCTGTTAGCTGTCTAGAAAATTAGCATTTGATCAAAACCTCAAACATTTTGTGATAGAAAACACTGAGCTGAAGATTATTTTAAAAAAACCTTTACTTATAAAGGATTAAATGAATTATTCTGTTAATTAAACTTTTTGTTCTGAAGAATGTGGTAATAGAGTAAACTGTTACAGACATTTTAAGCACTTTTTAGTGGGCTTGATATTGGAGTATTTAGTCATAAACAAGTTTTAAGTTTTAATGTTAGTTTTTATGCTAACAGTACAACTAAACCTGTCCTAATAGGGTGGTAAAATGTTTGTCATTTTTACAATTATGAGAGCAAGGTAATAATTGATTTCAGAGCAATACTTACTGTTTTCATGTCACCTGCTTATATGAAGCTACATCCATCTCTTATGTCTTAAAATAGATTATCTCCTATATGATTTCAATTTTAATAGTTTTAAAGTTTGCAAGATTTACTCAAAGCATCCAGCATGGCTGAATAAGCCTGGCCTGTACCTGCAGTCCTGTCCTGTTTCTCTTGTCCTGTCACTTGCTACGTGGGAGAAGAGACCAACCCCCATCTGGCTGCACCCTCCTTTCAGGCAGTTGTAGAGAGTGAAAAGGTCACCCCTGAGTGTCCTTTTCTCCAGGCTAAACACCCCCAGGTCCCTCAGCTGCTCTTTGTAGGATTTGTGTTCCAGACCCTGTTCCATTCCTTTTTTTTTTTTTTTTTAAGAACAGTGATAGTTGAGATTGTAGGGTTTAAATTTAAGATAAATGAGTAGTTGGCTGAAGATTCCATAGCAGGAAAAAATCCATTAGTTACAGATCTTTTGCAACCATTCTCTGCTCTTATTTTTATTTGTTAGGATTGCTATAAATAGTGTAGATTATCCTGTGATGCACAAGTTCCATGATCAGTTTAACTCATTTGCTTTTAGAAAAAAAAATTATAAGATATTGCTCTCTATGAGCAAGAATTTTTAAGACTTTCAAAGATATATTTGTTAAGCATGTTAAGCAGTAATAGAGAAGGGCAGAATTTAATGAATGAAGATTTTTAAAAAGACTTTCTAAGAAAAGTTTTGTTTTTGTGAGGTTTTTTTTGATCACTGTCCTAATATCTGAAGGAGGAGCTTCTCAGCTGAATTATTTACAAAAATGTTCTCCTTACAGTTTAACTGATGGATGAATAATTTTATGATATTTCTTAAAAAATAGAAAGACATTAACTCTCCCCATTGAATTTTTTGAGCAGACTCAAGAAATCCAAAAATAATTATAAGGGAGGAAGGAGTATACATTTTTCCCTTGTTTTGTTGCTAAAAATTCACTAATGTTAAAATTATTGGTTAAAAAAAAGATGGTCTTCATCTATTACTAGAAAAAAAAGAACCTGGTAAGAAATAATCCCATTAATTTTCCAGTTCTCTTACTAGAAAAGTAGGCAAGAATGAGAGTGAAACGTGCCAGGTAAAATGATTTACTGTTTTTTTCCTTTCAGTGAAAGAGCTCTACATCACCAATAGTTTTCTAGAAATAGTTGTTTAAGGAAACTGTTTTGGGTTTGGAGGATTTGGGTTTTGTATCTTTTCTCCCTGCTTGTTTTAGTGAAAGCTTTGAGAAAAACCCATTCTTGTAAACTGTTCTATTTGCATAAATCAAGGACAACCCAGAATCTGACATCCTAGGAATTTTTAGCATTATATAAGTTCTTTAAATTTTCTGTGTGCACATTAATCATATATTTTTGCTGTAACATTCTGGAATGAAGGGAAAAAAGGCTCAAACAATAACATAGAGAGAATACTGTGCTGCTTTCTGTTTCCAAGTAATTAACATAAGAACTAATGTGCATACACTTGAGGTAATAGCTGAGACACAAAAGAGAACCTATAACACACCTGAGTAAAGAAGCAGCTTTGCAGAAGAGCATAGATTTATGCTGATAGTACTCATTAAAGGCCTTATAAGAAACAAATTCTCACAAAACACCATTGTGATAGTTGGTATGTAGATGTTTTAAAGTACATAATACAACTGTATACCAGAAAGGTACACAGACACTGATAAAAGGTAACAGGTCTTTCTCTTTTTTTTTTTTTAAATATGTATCCTTCAGGCAACACCAACACTTCTCAGGAGGTTTGGAGCTCACATTATTAAATCAAGAGTGTTGTCTGCAAATACTTCACTTCGTGTCTTAGCCCTTGGTGGTGAAGCATTTCCTGCACTGAGTCTCTTGAAAAGTTGGAAGCACAAGGAGAACAAAACAAGCATTTTTAATCTCTATGGTATTACTGAAGTGTCAAGCTGGGCCACTTGCTACAAGATTCCTGAGGAGGTTTTTAGTGCTGATGTTAGGTAGGAAAATTCACTGTTCTCAATGGCTTGGCATGTGAATGATGGAAATTACCAGAAATAGAACCTCAGTCTCCTGTTACCAGGGCTACTGAGTCCTCATGAGTGTTTATACTGGTAGAAGTTACATTTGGGTTTATGTAGAAACAGACTAATCCATTGTCTCATGAGCCACTACAGCCCCCACTCCCCTATTTTAGTAGTGTGAGTGACAGAAATTTGTCCAAAGTGGCTCACCTAAGGTTTCACAGTAATTTAAACTTCAAGAGGTACTTGCTTGTCATCATTTATCACTCTGTCACATTTCACTCAGTTTCTGACTGGTTTGGCATTTTTTCTTCATGTTATTTTATAGAGTCATGAAGGATACTTCCCATTATCTCACTGTTTAATTTTCTCTCTGAAATGTGTGATTATTCCATGCCATAATAATTATACATGCAGTTTGAGTGAAATGTGTCCTACAAAAAGGGATGGTTTGCACAAATGATGTGATATATTAACCTGGTGCTTAAACACTTGAAGACTAAAAATGGTGGATTGTCATGAAGTGATCTTACATTCTCTTGTAAAACCAATTTTCTCTGAGTTCAAACAAAAAATGTAATACTTTAAAATAGAAATTGAACTGGAATCCATGCCAAAGTTATTTAAAGTTGCTTTAAGTTTTGAGTTTTGCTTTACTGAAGAAAATACATTATTCTATACTCCCACTTAGAAATAGCTTCTATATTCAATAAATGAGGTCCTGCAACTGCTTGAAGAGGCTGGAGAATGAAGGGAAAGGAAGGAGTTGGTCAGTAGTTCAAGAAAAGTCTATAATAGATACATGACATTGAAATGGCAGTTTCTTTTATTTCAGTCTTTTCTGAACGTTTTCTAAATCTTCTTCTGAACTTTTCTTAACTGTATTTATTAAAACAGAGTAAAAGCTCAAATTAAGCAGGGAAAATGAGTTAGAAAGCAGTTACACATGTTTAAGTTGGTTGACTTGATGGAGGTTTCAATCTGGGAGACTTAAAAGTTGGCTGAAATGATTGGGGTTCTCTCAGGATATTTCAGGCCTTATTTTCTGTAGGTCTGTGGGGTCTTCTGGTATATATCAGTGACAACCATGCACACTGATAAGGTTTATAATTTTTAATCAATTGATACCTTTTTAAAGAAGGTATCAATTTATTAAAATTTTGTAGAAAGAAGTCCCAAGAATCTACCTTTGCTGTAATCCCAGTCTTTTAAAAAAGCTACATGATGCTGGTTTCTGGGGCAGTTGTTTTGTGTTCAGAAGAGAAAGACTTCTGCTGTTTCTCTCTAATATATTTAGAACAGATTGTCCTGTACCTTTGGGATCACCACTCCTTGGAACAAAACTTGAGGTCAGAGATGCCAATGGATCTGCAGTTCTTGAAGGCGAGGGACAATTATTTATAGGTTATTTTATGTTTCTAATTCTTCTAAGAGGCTGTTATTAATTGATTGAGTTTTAATAATATATTGATTATTTTGCTTGATATTTGCCTGTGATATACAGATTAATACAGCATTTTAAGTTCTGATTGGGCTGGGAACCTTCTGATAGTATTTTAGATTGTTGGAATGATGAACAGGAAAGTACTATCATTTTATCTGCAGACTATGCCTTCATTATATTGATCTCTTTTTCCCTTCTTGCATTTTGACGTTCTCAGCTGAAGTCATTTCTGTGTATTAACTGAATTAACTGCATAGCCAAAATTGCACATTGCAGAAGTTTGGATGTTGATAATAATATTTCAGTATTTCTTATAATTCATGGTACAGTTTAAGAAATTTGATAAAACACTCTCTATAATTTTCATTTACAGTTAGCTATTTAATATATATGACCACAATCTTTTTTTGTCTAGGTGGTGAAGAACGAGTCTGCTTTCTTGATGATGAAATAACTGTGCCCCTGGGTACAATGAGAGAAACAGGGGATTTTGTAAGAGTGGAGAATGCAAAGTTGTTCTTCCTGGGTCGGAAGGACAATCAGATTAAACGCCATGGCAAACGTTTTAATATTGAATATCTGCAGCAGGTAAGTGCTCACCTCCACAGAGTACAGCCACTATTAAAAGGCAGATATAAGAAACACATTGTTATCATCAGAAAGGGTATTTGCTTGTTTTCAGGTGACTTTTAGGAGTCTAAAGGGATTTGGTGGGTGTATTATAAAAAATCTAGTCACATAATTTAGGGAGGAGTTCTGAGTTCTTGGGAATCTGTTTTATTGCATGGTTTCTTCCAGGAGAATTGAAAAATGTATAAACATCTGAAAAGTACTGAGCATAGCGATTGTTCTGCAAGACTGAGTGTCAGACTCCTGGATTATATCTCATTCATGGCATTTTGGCAAATAATACATATATCTGTGAGATTATTTTTATGTGAAGTAAAACTTTCAGCTACAAAAGAAGGTATTTCATAGGATGTTATGTAGGAATGTGAGAGAAATACAGTTTTTAAAGGTGTATGTTTTTGTCATTGTTTTTTGCTTCTTTTACTCTATTGATGAAATGCATTTCAAAACAAGACTAATGTTTTTTAATTACAGGTTGCTGAAGATCTTTGCCCGGTAGAAGCTTGTGCAGTTACCTGGTACCAACAGGAAAAACTTATCCTGTTTGTTTTACCCAAAGATGATTTTGAAGAGAGAGAAACATTTAAAGAACTCCAGAAGCATCTACCAGCTTATGCAGTTCCTGATGAGATTGTAGTGATTAAAGCTTTGCCTTTAACATCACATGGTAAATGAAGCTATTAAAAACCCTTGCCGTTTGTTTTAAGTTTTTTATTGACCAAAATCCAGTATCTGATTCATGCTTTTAGAATATATACATTAGATAAGTAATGCCTAGTAGGAAATAATGGCCATGTATTATTATGTTTTCTTGATGATGTTTCATTTGAGAGTCAAAGAGTAGTGAAAAAATCAATTTAGTTTTAACACTGCACATTTCTTACCTCAGTTGCTCCTGTTGCAGTCTGCAACAGAACCCTCACTTCTGCTGAGGAAAAAGCAGGCCTTGAGGTGGGATTCTGTGGGAGGGGTGAATTTTCAAAAACCTTACTGATTTTCATGTAATTGATCAACTGTAAAAAAATGCAGATGCAGTAGAGTCTGAATAAGGAAACACATACAAGAATATAGGAACTATGTGGGCAGAGCAAGTTTTGAAAGTGCTTATACTAAACGAGCAATGAAAAAAATCGTCCTTTATTTTCTACAAAGGCAAAGTTGATATATCTGAACTGAACAAGATTTACCAGAACCATCTAAACTCCAGAAGGCGTGACAGTAAGCTGAGTGACGCAGAGGAATTGTGGGAAAGATTGCAGTATTTATGGAAGGTAGTATTTTGAGCTGCCTTTTTATCTTTGCAAGTGGATCATTATACATGTGTCAGGAATTAAACAGTTTTAAGAAGTATGACTAATGCAACCAGAACATTCTAGCTGCCTATAGATTTAAGCAGTACAGCTCTATTCTATTCAGTTAATACTTAAATATAGTTCCTCTGCAGTGGCCAAGAAAAGTCATTTTTATTTCTCTATCAGATAAAACTGCAGGCTATGAGGTTTAAGCAATTAGCATAGAAAGAATGTGGTGACAGTAGCTTTTTAAATGCTGCTTCACATGCCAAAAGAAGGAATCACTAAAGAAAACAAGGATCTGGGACATGGGAACTTTGTAAAAAATTAGCTGCTGTGTTAGTAGAGTTTCTTACTTCTCAAGATAATTATAAATTGAAGAATCCTTTTTTTAAATAGATGGCGCAGTTGCACAACTGTCTCTTGGACTGCCTGTCTGGATTGTTTCTAAATTTCTGTGCTAAGGACTTGTTTTTCAGGGTATTGAAATATGATGCCAAGCAGTATTACTTTGTTTCTCAAAGGTGGACTTACGAGTTTCACCTGAAAGTGGAATTAGCTGTGGCCTAGGACTCGAACAAGTAAATGTAGTGTATTTATTTGTCTGTGCCAATCCTTTTCACATTAATGAAGTGATAACCCAGGGGATTGGTTGTGTCCTAGATCCATTATGGACAGTAGAAGGTGGCTTCCAAAACCAAAGGGTTTGGATTTGACATCCAGACTTAATAACAAGGGAGTGTGGTGAGAGGTGACTCAGTTATTGCTGTTTGTTGTAGTAACAATGCCAAATGCAAAATCTTTCATGAACTGAAGGGCTTATAACTTCAAAAGTAGGTAGGTAAGTAGGTTACTTAAATAATTTAGAAGTAAAAAAGAACAGTTTTTATAAGCTTTGTTATTAAAATAAAACACCTAAACTGATTTTTTCAAAAGACATCTATGTTTTATCTGCAAAGTTGTCATTGATAAATGGTATTGAAAATGGCCAATCAATATATAGTACAATTCCCTTTAATTCTTTAGACTGCAGAATTAGCATTGAGCAAGACATTTTGTAGTACAGAATTAGTAGTTCTTGTTCTCTCAGTCCCTCTGTTGGCACTAACATTTTTCAATGATTTTTTGCAGAGTAGTGAATTTTCTCAGTTGCTCATTTTTAGCATGACTTCTAGGTTTTCAGGTGGATTCTACGCCACCTGAGGTTTTATGTGTGTGACATGGTATAACACCTATGGACTGATACCTCTGTCCCTCCTTTTTTCTCTAGTCTGTCCTTGGACTTCCATGTGATTCCACTGGAATTTCTAAAGATGCAGTATTTCTGTACAGTGGTGGAGACTCCCTAAAGGCACTACGATTTCATGAAGAAATTGAGATGTTAGTAGGCAAAGCTGTGCCAGAACTCCTTGAAGTTATTCTCAGCCACTCAATTGAAGAGGTTTACAGACATATTCTTAAAATGCTGTTTCCAGATGAAGAACAATTAATGAATCCTGACAAGGTTGTGAAAAGAAAATTAAGAAGGAACAGTGGAGAGGAATTCCATGGAAAATACATTAAACTGACATCTGAAAGAGGTCTTGAGATTGCTTCAGGATTAATTCCATTTATTGCACTGAACAGAGGAAATCATCTTTTCTCTGTGAATTTCACCAAGTCTTCTGTGCAGCCCAAAAATACAGTACAGGTAGGAGAGGAACAACTAGAGCAGCCCTCCTCTCTGCATTCCAAGATTCCAGCTGTAATGAAAAGCCATGTGCAAGGGTCTGAACTGGAGAATAGAATTTTAACACTTGAAAACAAGGCAAATAAAAATGACCATTCCTCTGTGCAGCAAATCCATGCAGAATGTAGTCATTCATCAGTGGCAGAGCTGGCATTGTGCGTGAGGTGGAAGTCAAACACAAGGAAATGTGTTGATGCATCCCCACTGGTTATAATACCAGCTAAAGAAGGAGCATCTGCATCTGTGTATATTGGCTCTCACTCCCATGCAATGCAGGCAATTGATCTAGATTTGGGAGAAATAAAATGGGAGAAGGCCCTTGGAGATCGTATTGAGTCGTCTGCCTGTATATCCAAGTGTGGAAATTTCATTGTTGTTGGTATGTCTTTTGCTTCAGTCTCCATTTCTTTTTTCTGCTAAATACAAGATGAATGACAGAGAATCACATTCCTTATCTCTGGTTGTCCTCCATCCATCAACTTCCACATCTGCCTCAGACCTAATTTATTGTAAAATAGAAACAGAAGGAAGAAGTAATTTAAGTTTCGTGATAACTAGTGATGGAGCTTATCTAACATAAACACTTGTGGTCTGTTATATCCCAGTTTATTAATGAGGAATAATCAATGGCTACAGTTTCTTTTTTAGTGGTAGATTAAGGTGTGACATTTAAACTTGTTTTTGGAATTTTTAGAAAGAAAAATAGTATAGAAAGGTAATGGAGTCTTAAATGTCTTGGTGAATTAATAGAGTTAGAAATTAGTACATGGTACCTCATACTGTTTTTCACAGAGTGTAATCATCTCATTTGACTCTTCTTTCTGGAAATGTAAAGAACACATTTGGATAATTTTTTGGTTTTGTCATATCTGTTGTCAGCAGAGTTGCCATTATTTATCTTGGTGTCATCTTTTTAGCTGATATATCTACGTCACTGGTTAGCACAGATGGCCAAGTAGTGAGATTTTTTTAATGCAACTCTAATGTTGCCATCTTTTTGTTTGTATTTTGATTGCTGTTCACTCTTGATCATAAAATTGAATATTTTATTAACATGCAAATAATCATTATTCTTTTTTTTTTCCCATCATGTTTTATTCCACATAGGTTGTTATGATGGCCTGGTGTATGCGCTTCAAAGCAGTGATGGAGAAATACACTGGACTTTTGTCACAGAAGACACTGTGAAAAGCTCTGCAGTTGTAGACCCTTCCAGTGGACTGGTCTATGTTGGATCTTATGACCAGCATGTGTATGCTTTGGATATTTATGTAAGAACACTGACTCACTTTTACTTGTAGAACAATAAATATCCAATTTAGACACTATTTATAGTGCACCAGAAGAAGTTCCACTGGTGTTAGTATTCTTAGGAGTCCACAACCACACTTCTGAAAGTTAGGCCTGCTGTAAGTGGGGTTAGAATTATGTGACAGTAAACAGTTTTAGTGGTGTTCTCATATTAGTCCTGGTTGAAACCACATATTAAGTTTCTTAGTTATTAAGTTCTCCATAGGTGTTTCAGAATAGGGTGTCTAGCTAGAAATAGAACTGTGGTTTTCAGTCTTACCTTGTAAATGAGAAGATGGAGGCAGATGGGAAATAAAAGGGGCAGGTACTGCATTTTCAGTAGCTGAATTTATTTTATTTACTGGAAGGGAAACCAGTGGCACATGTGTTGCTATCATGGTGTGTAGATTGTCTTCACTTCTTAACTAGTATTTGCTGAGTAAACACAGTACTTGATAATGCTTGACATTCAAAGGTCTTTGTAAACATGATGATCTCTAACTCCAATTGAAAAATTATTATTCTTTTTTCCTGTACTTACAGCAAAAGGTGTGTGTGTGGAAGTTACACTGCGAAGGTGGAGCTGTGTTTTCATCTCCTTGTCTAAGTTCTTTTCCACACCATCTCTATGTTGCTACACTAGGAGGACTATTACTGGCTGTTAACCCTGTATGTACCTTTGCTTATGTGTCTTTCAGCCAAATGTATTTCTGAAGTTAAGATTGCTATTCTAATGAAAGGGGAGATGATCATATGTTATAATGAAATGTTTTTGACTCGGGGGCTTTATAATGATATACAAGGGGGGAATTATAGTGATATACATGATACTTCCCACACTTCAGAAATCCACCTGGTGATAAGGAGGACTGAAGTGACGTGGTTGAATTCACATGCTGACCATAGGTCAAAGTTGCAGTCAGTTTCTTGTCATTCCTGTATCAGTAACCAGGGAGTGAGAGCAACTCCATAGATTTATTTCCTGCCCCTCCTCCTTTGACAGGAGGATTGGAAAAATAAATATACAAAAAATAAATAAAAATCAGAACAGAATGCAGACAGAAGCCCCTTAATTCCTCTTACTGCTTCCCTCCCCATATTTAAGAACTGTCCTTTTAATCTCAGTGTGCAGTTCTGTTCTTTGCACTGGGGAAATGGCATTCTTGATAGATGTGGAGCAATTTCATGGTTTTCTGAGGCATTGTTGGCTTACAGCTGGTCCTGCCTGATAAAAGGAGCAGGGACTGAAAGCAGCTGTTCCTGTTTCTGTACTCACACAACACAGAGCATCAATCCTAATCACCTTTACCTTCTGCCCACTACAGCTGTCCTCAGCAGTAACCAGTCTGCCATTAGAAAACCAGTGTGTGGTTTTGCAGCAAGAGTGTTTAAGAAAAGATATTTTTTAATTCTATAATCCACAGTAAGAGGTAGTTGAGAAACCCACCCACAAGTGAGTCTGTGCCTTCCTATTTTTGTGAATAATCCTAATTCCTGGAGAATGTGCAAGATACAGTAGGAATGCATTGTGACAGTCATAGATAGTGAGTTGTAACATGGCCTAGAGTATCAACATAACTTGATTCCAAAGTATCTCTGCTTCATTGGTCCTTGCCACATACTGAGCAGCTGGGAATGAAATTAAAAACTGAATCTGGCATTTATTAGAACTACTGCTGATACACTCTTAATTATCATATTACTTTGCCTATGGTGAGCAAGAAAATTAGGTTTTGATCACATTTTTGTTCTGTGTGGGTGTTGTTGTTGTTGTTGTTTTGGTTTGGGGGTTTGGCTTTTTATTCCACACTACATAAGGGCTGGGTCAGGCAGGGATAGAAGGCTTGTTTTGTGCTGTTTCTTACACTTGTGTTAAGCATCACATATTCCATGCTGCCACTTACAGGTGACGGGGAGTAAGATTTGGAAAAGCAACCTTGGAAAACCACTCTTCTCCTCTCCTCACTGCAATGAGAACTACATCTGTATTGGGTGTGTGGATGGAAACTTATATTGTTACACTCATTCTGGAGAAAAGGTAAAAAAATGTTGTTGGGTTTTTATGTCCATCACAAAAAAGATTTATTAGGACTGGTTTCTGAGGCTTAATGATTGACATGTACCTTTTTGGGAACCAAACAGAAGTGCCTGTTGTTAGAGATGAGAAAGTAGAAAAACTGTTTGCCTAGGATTTTGCCATGGCAAAATCACAAACTCAAGTTGCCTGATGCAGGAAGAGAACTTCTAGTTCAGACCTTATACCCAAAGTAAATTGTCAAGTTTAGTGCCAGCAAATGAAATTATTTCATTTGGAGCTTTCCAAGCAGGTTTAAGGTATCTCTTCTATAAGGTTATGGTTATTCAGAAGTAAAGGTTTCTTAAAATTTTTATGCATTTCTCAAAAAACTGCCAAATCATAATTCTGGTAAAATATGTGTAAGCCATCACATTTAATTAAGTGAGAGTATTTTTTTAGCTCCTCAGAGATAAATGTAGTTTGTATCTGGTGGTAAACAACTGACACCATTCATATGTTAGCCTGAGATGCAGTATTTATGGCAATTCCACATGTTAGTCCATCCATGCATGGCTCTCTGCTTGCAGCAGTGTTGCAGACCTGATACTCTCTTGAGGAGGGATCTGCACATTGGTAGCAGAAGCAGAGGAAATCTGTATTCCAAAAGGAATATATGCCTTTCTAGCAAAGAATGTCATATTAACAGGATTCTTGATGTTCATTACTAACTGTACAACAGCCCAAGAATATTCTTTTCCCAAATTGCCCATTTTTACGTGGGCTTCACTGAAGGTAGTAACTCTTCCCTCTTCCACATCTATTTTATGAGACTTTTATTGCTTACTCTCTGTATAAAACCTTATTTATAATTTGACAGAGATTTACTAGACCTCACTGAAATCTAGTATGCTTTTGAAATGAAATGCTCTCCTATCAACAATGAGTCTATTAAAAAATTATAGTTGCTGTAAAACTGATAATGTAAAAAACCTTTGATAATGGGTGGTTATGTTCTTTCTGTAGGTTTGGCAATTTTCCACTAATGGGCCAGTGTTTTCATCTCCATGCCTCTCAAGTTTAACTAAGCAAGAAGTATTTTTTGGCTCTCACGACTGCTTTATCTACTGCTGTAACATGGAGGGTAATTTACTGTGGAAATTTGAAGCCACTTCAAGTGTATATGGAACACCATTCATTTTCCAAAGTGATGATTTAAATAACAAAATTCTCCTGGCAGCAGTATCTACAGATGGCAGAGTGTGGATCCTGAATGCCAAGAGTGGAACAGCAGAAGGAGCAGATAAGCTTCCAGGCGAGGTTTTCTCTTCGCCCGTAGTATGGGGAACAAAGCTTGTTGTTGGCTGTAGAAATGATTATGTTTATTGTCTGGATCTGTATACAGCAGGGAAAAGTAACAGCTAAGATGTTAGGCTGCTTCCTTGTTATTGTTTACATTTGTAAACTGGGAGCTCACAGGTGCTCTCCACCCCTCTCTGCCTGTTTTGCTGCAGGCAAGTGATGCTCCTTGCAGGCTTATCAGGTGGGATTTTGCATCAGGCAGTGTCCAGTGATGGAGGGAGGATGGCTGCTCATAACCTTGCCAGAGAGGGGGCAAAGTGTGTAAGGTGCCACATTCCACAGCTTGGATATCAGCCTTATCTCTGAGGGAGGAGTGAATTGCTTTCTCTGAGTCCCTCCTTGCCTGTGCCTGGCTCTTCCTTGCACCAGACTAGTGTTTGTCTGTCTGTCTGTCTGTCTGTCAAGATTTCTGTGCCAGGCAAGCTAACACAAGTCCTTTTTTGAATCTAACTTTTAATTTGATTTCTGGAGACATAGCCTGAATTTCATATACCTGGAAGGACTGACCTGTTTACTACAGTTTTTACAAACAGAATAGTTCATCTTTTGTGGACATAGGCCTGTCATGGCTTAATTATTCTAGCTATACTTAAACTCCATTGAAGTCAGTAGGAGTTGCCTCTTGTATTCTAAAGTGGAAATAACACTATAAATATTTATTAAATTTCAATGACAGAAACAGTATGAGTTCTAAGATGAAGTGTGCACTGCTCAAATTAACAACTGTCAAACATTTTTAAAAATATTTGAATGAATACTGTTTACATTGTTTTCACAAGAACTATTAATAAAAGGTTGTGTAAATTGGGTTTTGTATTCTTTAACACCTTAGAAAAAAGTACCAGTGGTCTTGGTAATGCAAATCAAATACTTGCAGTGGCAAAAGTACACTTTACTGAGAGCATTTCCTAAGAGTCTTCTGAAAGAAGTGTAGTAGGAACTCTTACTTTACTTGCTCTCATCTCTTTGAATCCTGTGTAGTATGTAGTACAGTTGTAGCACTGTAAAAATTCCTGTTTGTAAGGCAAACCTGCACCACATGATTAGCAAAATGAGACACAGAGGACATATATCAATGATTAGATAATTTTGACCAGGTTATAGTTTAATAAGATTTAAAATGACAGTATAATAAACAATTGCACTTTAAAACATTTGAAAAATTAAAAAAGTACACAACAAATACCCCACAATTATACATCTTGTAGTTTTTATACATTACTATATGAACATAGAGGTTAATCATATATAACCTTGTCAAAAGAAATGGTATTTTGTGTTTGTATAAGTTACAAAAAATTGAGACAATATACTACATAGTGGTTTATTCGGTTCTTAAAACATTTTTGCTGTTTTAAACTGGGTAGTAGTGTTTTGGATTTATTTTTACAGATTTCCAACTTTATCAGAAATGGCTGCAACAAAGCTAAAGCAAAGTAAAACTTCCCTTCATTGGTATTTAGTGCAAATCTTTGTTAATTTAACATGAAATGTTACTGTTGCACATGTACGCTTTAGAAATGTTTCCATCAAGTACTGTACATAATACAGTTTCCATTGTTACACTACATACCTTTATGGTTGGAAAAAAACTCTGCTTTGAAGCTTTAGCTTAGGACCATCCTTAATGAAAGCTCTATTCTATGTGCTATAAATGGATTGTATTGGAAAATTGCATCCTTATGTCATGCACAATAGCACCTAATTTTGCTATGCTTTTCAGAATACCAGTATCTTTAATCCTGATTTACTTCACCTTCTGTGTATTTCTACCTGGCTCCCCCTCCCAATAAATAATTGTAAAGATGGATTTCAGGCAGTTTAGTTATTACATATCCATACTGCAGGCAAACAAACTTGGAAAAACACAAATTTAACTTTAGGATGCACTAATTCCAGGTGCTAGCAGAGCAAAAGGAATTACAGGCCCAATTCTTTCTTCGGATATTGAAGGCATTAAGGTGGGTGTTTTTCCCAAGCATTTTAGAGCAGCATTATCTCATTTCTGCTTAAAACATATTACTTACATTCCTGGTAAAGGTTACTTTAGAGATTTTGGTTTTAAATATGAAACTGAGCAAAACTGATGGCTTAAGACATCCAAGAAAGCCCATCTTGCTGCTGCACATGTACTTGATCTAACACATCCATTGTGTTTGTGCTACTGTAACCATGATACTGAGCCCATTTTCTGTTGGGTGGGAAAGGCTGTACTTGCCAATGATTTTTGCTGAAATTCCTTTTTGATTCTGGGAACAGAGTGTACAACAGGTTTCATTCTGTTTCCTGTGTAGTTTAAAATGCTGTTTCTCATGCTGTTTACAGCAGTTTGGCTAAAACACTTCCATGAAGCATATGTCGTATCATTCAATAATGATGTAATTTCTTTTCATGAAAATGTCTCCCTCTATGATGTTGTAGGCTTAAAGGTTCCTTTGAGCCTTATGGTTGTAAGGAGACTTTCAAATTTTTTTAAAGTCTTCCTTGTAAAACAAACTCAGTTGATTTATTTAATAGGGTGACATTTTAAAATGTAGGCCTAGAGATTTCTGTGGGATGTTGAGGATAGTGACATTTTTATTCCATTTATGGACTTTATCCTTTTTTTGTAAGAGGGAGGGGGTGGACATTTCTGTTTTAGTTACGTGAAGTAATAAAGTGTTCAACTGCCACACCAGATACCTGAGATGGGGTAAGTAAACTTCTTCTTGAAGTGTTCTGGCTATATTGGTCAAAGTACAGGAAGTTACCTGAACTGCCTGAAGTTGCATGTGGAGTAAAATCAGGAAGAATGCAGAGTTAAAACTCCTAAACCTCTCACTGACTTACCTCTCAGTTCTCAGTTAACTTCAGTTCTGCCAGTCCTACTCCTGTGGGAACTTCCTGAGTTCTACAGGAATTTGCATTTGCACAGGAACAGTTTAATTCCAGTCAATTGATTTAAAGTTGTAATCCACAATCACTGTCTCTATGCAGCATAAATATGGCCAAGCACAAACAGTGATGCACTCAAATGACTAGAAGAAACACTGAATCCCTGACTTCTTTCTGAGAGCTTAATGACATTTGTTTAAAAATTGTGGCTTTTAAAGTAAGATTGTTTTCTTCTTAGAAGTGAGGGCATATAGATGTAGTGTGTTAATCCTATGATGAAAGAAATTGCCTCAGCATTTGGATGGTACCATCACTTATCATTTGCATGTGGAACAGTGTATCCTGAAGCTCTTCCTTAGGGAAAAAGCTTTAAAATAGCAGGCAGAACTGGCAGTTCATACAGTTTATAAATTATGACTTAAGAGAAGGAAACATGCATCTTTCCTTAATTTCAACAATGAAGTTCTGAAAAAATTTCTGAGATCTCAGACATAGAGATCTAAAATTGCAGAACTGAATACCAACATAATTTAAGAAGCATCTGAACTCTTATTCTGTTCTGGCCCTTATTATGATACCTGCTAAAATTTACATCCAGTATCTGAGCCCTCTCTAAGTTTTTGAGAGAGTCTGGCTGTGTGATTTTTGCCATGACCTCCTTTAGCTATTTGTCAAAGCAATGGAATATATGACTTGAGTAGACTTTACAGTGAGCTAGAGCAAAATGGTAATCAGTTCAGTTTTCAGTCCTTCCAATACATGCATTTTCAGTTTTGTCATGTAAAAAGCAGAATAAATAAAAGAAAGCAATTAATAGTCAGCAATAGAGATGTAACTTTACAGTTTACTTTATGATCTGTGGACAGTCACTCCAGGCTTTTGCTTTCCTCTTGGCTAACGCAAGCCAGGCTGGCTCTGTTGACGCTGGGTTAGCATCAGGCGTAGAGAATCTCTTGGCCACCTCCTTTGTCACTGGGGTTGATGGAACAGAATCTGAAATTTCCACTTTTTTATGGGACAGGGAGAGGGGAAAAAAAATAAACCAACATTAGTTGAATCCTGAGCTTTGTTTCAGGATTCTAGAGATTTCACTTTTATGTGAAGATATTCTAACACTAGATATTAACTTCCAACACTTTCAGTTAAATCTTACTGTATAAGCAAAATAGTCAAGTTAGCAGGAACTGATTTTCCTTTTTCAGAGGTGACTCTACGTAATCTAACTCACAAAAATAGGGACAAAATTTTCAGTCCTTGTGACATCCAAAGGAAATATTTCCAATTTCCTACTCTTCCTCTTTAAATAAACTATTTTAATAACATCTGTGCCATAGCAAACAATGGGAGATAAAAGCTAGGGATATTCTTCTCTTTGGTAATGTAGCAGCTGCATGCATGTAAACCAAATGTACTCAGTAGTATTCAGATTCCCTCTTCAGAGAAGAAGGTGATCCTATAACTTCCTGCCTCAATTAACCCTGCCCAAGAAAAAAAGAAACCTGCTTTCCCCACTGGTTCTTTGCCACATTTTCTTCCAAGGTAGTATAAGACAAACAGCTGTCTCCATGAGAAAATATGTTTAATAAACAAATGATTTCTAAGAAGCAACTTCACAGAGCCATGGAAGTATTGTAGAGGTCAAGTGGGAAAATAAATTCTGAGACAGTGAATTCCCTTGAAGGCAACCTGAATAGAAATGAGTCCTATCTGAAACATTTAGAGTAACTCTAAAAATAACTCCTCATTCATCTCCCCGCCCCCCCCCCCACTCCGCCCTTGCACATTTTCTTTTTTAAGAGCAATTTTTTTTTGTTAAATGTTCAGATTCCCCATTACTTTTAGTTGCATTTCATTTTGAGGTTTTGAATTTGTATAAAGGCTTTAAAATTGTGTAGAAGCTTTAAAATTGCATGGCTACCAAAAGAAGTTCTGTTTTTCTTTTTAGTGCATCTTTAATCATATATCTTTATCTGCAAGTAAATGAACAGTAGCAGCATTAATTTCTGTAAATGGACACTTTGAAAAGGTAATTATTTTAAGTACTATGGTAATTGATGCTATTTTAAAGGTCCCACACTCTTATCAGTTCCTGTTGAACGTGACACAACTGCAATTTTGAAATGCAACACCTTCAAGTTGGGTGCTTTTTAACGTCCTCAGAGGAGGACTCTGAACACTTCCATTTTAAACATATCCTAGGCTGGTCTTCTGTCTTAAATGCTCTTCTAACTGTGGGAAGCCCAAATCAGTCTTACTACCCACAAATACTTGTATACACAAGTATGTGTAGTTGCTAAAGGCTGCCTGACTCCCAATATAGTCAGTAATCACAGGGAAGTCCAGTCATTATTTCTCAAGGGCCAATAGACTTCTATGCTTTCACTTTAGGTATTTCAAGATTGGCAATTCTTCCTCAATTTCCTTCTGAACTGTCACTCTAGTGCAGACAGAATGACCTTGGATAATTGGGGTTTGGGCCTTTGATCTAATTTGGCATCATCTATTGTGATGGAGTTTGATTTCTGCTAGCACTGACCATGTACAGCATAACAACACCATGCTGAGTCTTTGGGGTAGGGCTGCAGTAGAGCCCCTTTAGAGTTTGACAGAGAGTTCATGATGCAAAGCATGAACCTTTTGGGCAATTTATGTAAGATCTTAGAATGCTTTGGGTTGAAAAGGACCTTTAAAGGTCATTTGGCCAACCCAAGATGTTCCAAGTGAAGTTCTCAGGTACATCTGCTCTGGTGTGCAGCTGCAGTGTGAAGATGCAGCTGCTGAATCAACTGAATGTAGGCAGGTGTAGGGGTTTTTCAGTTTGGGACAGCCTGCAATGCAGGAGTAGCACTGGTTTAGCCTTTAACAAATCAATTGAGTCACCTCATTGCTTTCAATAATTGCATTTCACCATTCTTGGTGTAGAGTGGTACTGAATAGATGCAGCTGTATTTACTTTCAAAAGTATTTACTTTCAAAAATGCTTTTTACTAGCCTAACTTTTAAAAAGTTTTCTTCAACACCTTTCTACTCCAAGACCTTTTCCCTAGGACTACTGTTGACTAGAGAAATATATGCAAGTCTGTATTTCAACAATCACCTCATGCCACCCCAAATATTATTATGCTCTTTGGGGAAGTATTTATTTTAATTTGCCTGCCTTTTGAATATAGGATAGTTTCAGCTTAAATGAAGTGACAGATAAAGCAGTAGGTTCTGGTTCCAAGCTACCATGCCAAATATTTGACTGGGAGGGAAAAATCCTAGATGCAAAGTAACAGACTACCTTCAACTGAATTGATTATCCTTTGCATTTTTCAAATGAGAATACTTATTTCCAATATTGGGGGGTGAATATTTCTCCTTCACAAACTGGGAGGTGTGAGAACAGAATATGCTTCATTTCCTGCACAAATATATTTTTACAAGTTAAATATCATTCCCTGTCTGTGCTATCCCCCAACCTAAAGGCAAAACAGTACTGCAGTTGCAATTTACGGTAAATCAGATCCCTCTAATGTGCATTAGTCACGTTCCAAAAATACTGTTGGATATGGCCTGGGGAGACAGCCTAATTTAGTGAACTTGAACTGGGGCAATTCTGAGGAATTACAGCAGCGCAGCCTGAATAACATGGTGAGGACTGGTAAAAGTCTGTTAAAATTATGTATTTCCATCATAATGGCCAACACATGAGATGGGAATAAGCTGTGTTGTTCTATGGAATGCATTTGTAATTCTAGCTGTAGTATACGAGGGAAAGGAAACCCTCTCATTCGCTTTCTCAAAAACATGCAATATCATTTCTGAAGTTCCTTATTCCTAGTGTGAATCTCAATCTCTCAACTGTACCTGTCACAGAAGTTGGAAGGGTATTCGACTTTTTTAGATGCTCCCTTCTTTCTAGTCTTGACACAGCAGTCTCAATTTTCTTCTCTCCTTCTTGAGTTGTAGATTTCTGCAGTGTGCTTGTTTTGCTGCTGCTACTTTTATTATCTGACTGATTACTTACAGCAGCCTAGAACAGAGAAGGAAAACTGCTAAATGAGAGTGTGTCATATAATGGGTACAAGTTAGAGATGACACACTTGATGCTTTCATTCATCACCTGTCCTTTCCGGCAAAGATTCACAACACCGATGCTTCTAAAATCAACAGTTATTAAAGACTCTAAAAAACCCACCCCACAGTTTAATTTGTCATGTTGTCATTTCAGTCAAAATACTGAAGAGTTTGAGCCAGCCCTCCCCGTTAAATACAGCACTGAAACATAGCGTACATCTGTGGGCAGCTTCACACCCACTGCTGTTTTCTTCCATCAGTTGTCTGTGTCTCAGGTTATGCATGCATCCATCAGAAATTAGGTTCTCATAACAAACAGCAAAATATATTTAGCTATCCACACACTCTGCCTTTTTGCCATCTTTGATACCTATATAGAAATCACTGTTTGTGCAGCTTCACTTTGGTACTGCAAGCAGAAAAGCTCCCCTTACTAATAGCCATGGAGAGTAAAAAGCTATTTGGAGAACAGGAAAGAGGTGATTGAATTCAGTGCCTGCTTTGGGTCTTTGGATGCATAATGATTGTTCATTTCTTTTGTTCATCTGTATTTTACCCAAATAGCACATGCTGCAATAAAAATAAATTCAGACCTTCTAATATTCACCTCTAATTGCATATTCCAGCTGTTATTCCCTAAGCATTAAAGGTTAACATCTCACGTAAGCTCTGGAAGAACCACATCGCACACAATTTTTCTGTTCCATCCCCTGCACAGTAGTTCTGCTTATGATTGTCATTAACTACCACCTGATACCCTCACAGTTTACACTACAATTGCCAAACTAGTGCATTTTCTCCTGGAGGTCTCAGTTTTGCAAGAGGGAACTCCAGACTTTCAGAATACTTTTTACTTGCTGTCATTTTAGCTTTTATGAAGTCTTACCAAACATAAAAAAAATATTCTCACATAACAACATTAGCTATAACAGTTATAATTATGGGCAGGTTTTCTAATGGGAAGGTTTCTAAAGATTGCTTACATTTTCTTTAGCCAGTTTCTCTGCTTGTTTTGCCTCTCTGGCTTGTCTTCTCTCTTCCCTTGTAGCTTGCTGCTCACGAAATCCCTTTTGCTTTTGCAGCGCTAATGTAATCCAAAGTGGTTGTGAAGTTTCCACTTTTTCCAACAATTTAGAGCCATCTACAGAGTGCCTGCTCTGAAGAACAGGCTTTTCTGAAAGAAAACATGACAAGAATTGATTGAGTAATGCACATCTCTTGTCTTGAGAAAACCCCTACAAACTACCTTGTGAAAATTCTGGAGCTAAGCCCATTGAATGCCATGTCAGTCACAGACCTTTGCAGACTGCACGACAAATCCTGAAACAGATTTTATGCCTCAGGAATAAGACCTAATTCGACACACTCACCCAGCTGTCCAAATTTATCCTTCTTTTTGTGTGTGAAAAAAAGAAATAAAAAGTCAGCAGTTCCACTCAGATACTGTTTTAGAAGTGTCCTGATGTTTGAAAAATTCAAGAATGAAAAAAATTGGGATTTCCCAATGAAATGCTGAATTTCTGCCTTGGTTTTTTGAGTGTCCTTACTCTGAAAGGGTAATTTTCCCTCTTGTACAAAATACCATTTCAGCACACAGGGGCTTTCAACTCTCTTCTGAGGAGACATTATGGCTACTGTAATTGTTTTCATCACTGAAGACTGTCTCTGAAACACAGACTGATATGCCTAGCTGTATTGCTTAAATAAAGAATTTGCCCACGATAAGGGGACCTACATCTTAATATTTTTTAAGCTAGATAACATTTCCTTAAAAAGAGAAGCAACAGAATGTAGATTTTAAAAATTACACCATCTACTCTGATGACACCATTATCCACGGACCACAGAGTCTGTCACTTGACTCACTAGAGGCAGAGGTAACATCTCTGCCAAGGAAAAACACACACACACACACACTACTGTTACCTCCTTGAAATTAATTTTCTTAAGTAGTTTGCACTGGTCACACTGAATTTATGGGCTTCTGAATTAAATTGTGGGCATGGGAATTCACACTCATTGAGACAACCCTAAGCACAGTAACAGTCCTCCACAAGTAACATGCCAGGTAAAAATTATAACTTAAGACTAAATGTCTTCCTCTGGACCTCCAGTATCTCATTTTGGAAATGTAGACAATAACTAAATTTGCTTTAAGAAATACATACCTTTCTTCAATGGCTCAGGCTTTTTGTCATTTTTTTCTCTCCATGGAATACTTAGAGATGGGAAAAATGACTTCTTTTCTTTGACTTCTTCCTCTTCATTTTTGTAGTCATTGGATGGTATGGGTTGGGCTGCATTTGCTCTGTCTTCCTTTCTCCAGCCACCTTCTGATTCAGCTTTAGCCACCCTTTGCCCCAGCATTTCAGATAGGTTTGATCTGTTCATTTTGGAGAGAGGAGATGATGGTGGGGTCTGGCTGGTGGGCTTTGGAGCTAAAGCAGGTTTCTGTGGGACCAGGGACTTGCATGCAGGTTTCTCATGAGCAGGTAGAGCGCTCTGGCTGGTGGCTGGTGTGCCCACAGGTGCTGAAAACTCCACCACAGTAACTGAAGACTCTTTTAAATTACCAGGGATGTTTGCTCTCCCAGTGCCAGGAGAGGTACTTTCTTGTGAAGTGAAAACAGAGGATTCTTTCTCTCCTTCTGTTGAGGTAAGTGGGTCAGGCACACCATCAAAACTATCTCCTGCACTGTATCTTTTCTTTTTCTTTTGCTCTACCTGTTGATCATAATGAAAACGTAAAGAGTAGTTTGTCCTTCGTAACTTTATCCCAAAAGGAGAAACATTTTCTTCTCCATTTGGTGATGGTCTATCTGCTTTTTTTGTGCTGTTACTCTGCTGATTTTCCAGAGCATTGGGAAGTTCTGGCTGGGGTAATTCCTTCCCCATAGAATGTGGAAAACTTGGAACAAGAAATGATGGAAGATCTTTTGCAAATTTACAGCCTTCAGTGTTGTCTGTCACTTCCCTATGAGTTTCCATTTTCTCTTTAAGCTTTTCAGCTAAGTGATCCTTAAAAGTGGAAACCACATCCTCCTTCGAATCAGCAGATGAGCCAGTGGTTCTCCCCACAGCCACTGTTTCATTGCCTTTTGCCACATTTACACTCTCAGTATCTGAATTGGTTTTTGAAGCATCTGAAAATTTCTGCCATGCTGGTGTTATTGAGAACTTTGCATTGGCAGAGAGGGTTTTCCTCAAGTTGCCATGGGGAGCACCGCGTCCCCCTCGGGGTGTCCAGTCATCACTGTGCCTGCAGGCAGTTCCTCGGTCTCTCTCATTATATTTATTGTTTTCTGCATTCTTTAGGATCCTGGAGCGGATAGAGGCCCACTCAGCCAGTACAGCCTGGTTGTTCAATGCCTCTTGTGCGTGTTTCATTTTACTGCTGCTGGGTTTGGGATCCTGTTTTTTTCTCTCGGACTTCTCTGGAGAGGGAATATCCACAGTTTTCCTCTCTTCTGTTAAGCCAAGTAATGATTTGCAAGCCGTGTCCTTAATCTGGTTCAAGTTCACTGCTGTGCCACACAGCTGTGCTCCAGTAACCAAAATAGCTGTGTGGGGTACACACACAGATGATGGGAGGGAATGAGAGCCCTTACTGGTAGTGTGCACCCTGCAGTCTTTGACAGATGGAGAAGAAAGTCCTGCTCCTTTGATGGGCATAACAGGACTCAGATTTACTTTCTGAAATATGATCTGTTTATCTCCAGAAGACACTTGAAATGTGAAGGGTCTGGATGCCATTTGTCTTTCATCTACCTCTTGCCACCGAAGTTCTTCCCCTATGCGTTTTTGCTCCTGAGCCTCAACTTCTTTTTTCAGTTTCTGGGCTAGTATTTCTTCTGCTGTTTTAGTTCCTTTTTCTGGCTGTTTGACTTTTTGGAAACTTGATCCTTCTTGGATCTTCTCCTCTGCTGGATGCCGAGCAGCCCCTCCAGCAGAACACAACTGATCTTTTTCCTGTGGCTGTTCCAAGGATTTTTCTTGTTTTGGCTGAAGATTTTGTCCTTCTGTGTCTACCTTCTGCTCATGCCCATTTTGTTCCTTTTGCTGCTTCAGTTCATCTTGTAGTACACAGTCTGAACTTTCCATGTGCATTTGTTTTGTGAGTTTGTGTTTCCTCTGCTCTTCCCGTTTCTTTTTCTTGTCTGTCACTTGCTGGGGTTGTTCCTTCTCTGTCTTTTCTTTCTCCTTCAAATGCTGTCTTTGTTCCTCCTGTTTCTTCTCTTGTTTGAGGCTCTGAGGCTCTTTCTCCTGCTTTAGTTTTATTTCAGCTTCTTCAAGCTCTTTCTCTTCTAGTTCTTGTTGCTGTATTTCTTCCTTATTTTCTTTCTTGAGCTCTGTTTGTTCCTCCAGCCAGTTTCTTTCTTCTTCCTTTTGACTCTCTTTTTCAGTCTCATGTTGCTTTAATTCTTTCGGTGCTAGTCTCTTCTGCTCCTCCAGCTCTTGTCTGTGTTTCTCCTCCAGATCCTTGTGCTTCTGCTCTTCCCATTCCTGATGCTTCTGCTCCTCCAGTTCCTGACATCTCTGCTCTTCCTGTTCCTGGTGCTTCTGCTCCTCCAGCTCTCGTCTCTGTTGCTCTCTCTGTTCCTGGTTCTTCTCTTCCTCCTGCTTTAGTCTCTGCTGTTCCTCCCTTTGCTGGTGTTGCTGCCTGTCCAGCTCTCGTCTCTGATGCTCTTGCTGTTCCTTGACCTTTTGTACTTCCAGCTCTTGTCTCTGTTGCTCCTCCTGTTCCTTGAGCTCCAGCTCCTCCAACTCTCGTCTCTGTTGTTCCTCCTGTTCCTTGAGTTTCTGCACCTCCAGCTCTTGCCTCTGTTGCTCTTCTTGTTCCTTGAGCTTCTGCTTCTCCAACTCTCGTCTCTGTTGTTCCTGCTGTTCCTTGAGCTTCTGCACCTCCAGCTCTTGTCCTTGTTCCACCTGTTCCTTGAGCTTCTGCTCCTCCAGTTCTTGTCTCTGTTGTTCCTCCACTTCCCAGTGCCTCTTCTCCTCAAGGTTTTGTCTTTGTTGTTCCTCCAACTCCTTCTGCATCTGATTCTCCAGCTCTTGCCTTTTTTCAGCCTTCATCAGTCTTCTTTCTTCTTTATGGCATGTTTGCTCTTCTATTTTCAATGTCTCTTCTTCAAGGAGGTATTGCCTCCTCTCTTCTTCACAGCGTCTTTTTTCCTGTTCTTTTCGCATCTCCTCAAGTTCTTGGCACCTTTTTTCTTCCATTTCTCTTTGTTCTTCCATTTCTACAATCTGTCTTATCCTTTCAGCTTCAATGATACCCAAGTGATCTTCAATTCTTTTTTCCTCTGCCAGCTGAAGCTGCTTCTGCTCATCTCTGTCCTGGATTAGCTTGTCTGCTGTGAAGCGTCCATTATAACCTGGGTATATGTCCTCATACAGCTGAGTTTCTAGGTCCTCTGGCTCAAATTCTGTTATTGTTAAACTTTGTGATCCCTAAAATTGGAGACAAGTTTGGAGTTACTGAACATTGCCTGTTGGCTTGTTATCCTTCACAGTGAACCAAGAGTTGCAAATGCAAAAAAATCCCAATTTGAACAGTGATTTAGATGAGCCAACATATCCCACCCCAAGTTATGGATTACATCATCATAGATCCCATGTCTCTCCCCTATTCCAATGATAGCCTTTAAAAGAAAGAAAACATCCCAAGAGTGACAGCAGTATAACAACAAATATTGAATCACTATTTGGTGTTCATTGGGGCCTGCCATTTTAAATATGCAGAAGCCCAAGGAACAGAGCAGGAGTTTCATATGCCTATTCTTCTGCTACTTAGAACTCCATCCTTTAAGCCTGAAATAATTAATGCCTGCTTAGGGGCATTGTTTTGCCAGTTCTTTCATTTCAAATTTGATACTTGCAGAGACAGAGCTGTTGCCTGCAGAGAAAAGCTCTGCAAAGCTAGCCAGGAAAGAACACTCCTCAGGGAAACACAATTTGCTTTCTTTTCACAAATCCTGAGCCAGGATATCTTCCTCATTAGCTGTGTTGAGACTCCAGTACTATTGTAGGAACCATGGGAACATGTATGGATAGCACAGCCAGAGCTTCCCAGGAATACTACTCTGTTCTGCGCCTGAAGAGTGCTTCCCTTTGGAAAACAGCTCAGCTAATGTCCTGTCCAGCTATCATTTGCTGAGCCACCGTTTGGCTTCAGTTAACCATTGTATAAACAAGAGGTTTAAATTTAATTTCTTTATTACAAAAGTGATACATGCAAGCACAGTGGTGCAGAAAAAAGGGAAGTGGCCTCTCCTGAGCCCTGTGTAGTTGAATACTCTTGTCCCATTTACAAGAACGAATAAGATGTTAGGATAAAAATCAAAACAGATGTGCAGTAAGTGCACAAAGCTACAACTTTATATTTCTCTCTATAGCTGTTGCAAGAGCTACATTGCTCAAGTCTTATTCCTTCTTATAAGGCAAAGCTATTACCCCTGTCAGAATCCATGCCCAATTGAGAGAATCTGATTTTTTTCCCAACCAAATTTTGCACTATCTGATTGCCTATATCAGAGCAGCATTAACAGAAGCACGTATCTTCAGGCCTTTATGACCTAAAGTTTTTACTAGAAAAACTAGAATCAGAAAACTCTCATAATGTAAAATTCTAGTGGAAGAACTTCAGAATTAATAAGTAGTTGTCTCAGCTGGCAATATGAAAACTTCTTTGCATCTTCTCTCCAGCTGGAGTTTCAGATAAATAACAGTGTTAATCAGATCTCTGCCTATAGATCCTGTTATGGTTATTTTGTACCCAGTTTCAAAAGTAATCTCCCTCCTCTCACTGTTTGGCCAGTCATTTAATACCTTTGTCAATCTCTTGTGCTGTCTTGACATCCTCTGCTTTTTTGGCTTCACTGACAGTTTGTGCTTAGCTGCACTGTTGTCCAGACGAGCAAGAGCCTGAGGAACTGAATCCAAATTGATTGTTTCAATTGTGCCAGAACAGGAAAACTGCCTTTTTGGCCGAGCTGACTTCATTGGAGTGAGCTGTTTGTATCACAAACACAAGAAACCATTATTAAGCTATTTGTCCACTAAATAAATAAATACATAAATAAATAAATTACACACACACACACACACACACACACACACACACACACACACGCATCTTTGCAGGTTTGAATTCAAAAGAATTATTAGAAGAAAAAATTAGAAACCTTGGCTTTCCATTATACAAATTACATACTTTGGACATAAAAGTTGCAGTTCTAATATTTTCCTATTTTCAGTACTACATATTTTTATAGTTTTCACATAAAAATTACTTAGATGATTCTATTGAAGTTTTTTCACAGTTTAGCTCCACTCTGAACTTGTTGGGAATGGGAAAGGCACAGGCAAGGTTTTAAGCAACATCAAACACTGGGACATTTTAAAGTTTGCTTACTGGGAAAAAAAGATCTACATCTTTAAATAATTTAGATTTAGGCAGAAGCAAATCAGATTGACTTATCTAAGCTTCATAATAGAACAGCTACAGAGCTATACTTTCTGCATGGGAGATGACTGCAGCATTGGATTTCTGACTGGCACAGTGCCTGTGGAAAACCTTCCCTCCAGAGCCATGTGGAATTGTCCAAGACAGCTACAAACAGCAAAATACTAAAGTAAGACAACATTGGCTTTGATGGGTGCTTTATTTCTGGTGCCCTTCAAATACTTGGGTTCAGAAAGTGCAAATATAAGCAAAGGGATTCAGTGAGACTCTAGTTGTGAATAAATAGTGGAACTGTATGTCTAGGCATGTAAGAATGAGCCTGTCATCTGTCTCTTCCATAAGTCATCAAACTATCATCCCAAGACTTGCATTTGGCATAACACAAATGGAAAAAGAAGACAGAGAAAAAAAAGGGGGGGAAAACATCTTCTGTAAGGAAAGAAATCACATACATTGTTTTCAAGACAGCTCTGTAATCTTCTGAGGTTAAACATATGCTAATCAGGGAGCCAATTACTTAAAAGCTGAGGGAACATTTTGCATATGCTTATTGAATTACATGCAGGCATAACAAAGTATTAGAAGTACTTATGAAAATTATGACTCTGTGATTAATACATCAAATAGAGGAATGCTGCAAGACTGGCAGAGACTGGGTTCTGCTGTTTCCTGCAATCAGCTCTTAAGATTTCTCAGTCTTAGTTATTGCTAGCTCCAAAAGTGCACAGCATTCACAAAATATTGGATGATCAGTCAAACAATGTATGAAAACAGAAACTGTCAGGCTTCTAATATCTAAAATTAGAATGTATCTCAGTGCAAACCAAGTACGAAAGTTTTTTTACCTTTTCTTCCATTTCATATCCTGTTCCAAGAAAATTCATTTTTCTCAAGAAATCTGGAGTGTCAGCGGACTAGAAAAGATTACCACAAACAAGTATTAAAATGGAAAAGATCAATTAATTATGATTCAAAGGACTTGTGAAATCATGTATGTTAGGATAGGATTTTTCCATCTTTCCTATCCCTTCAGGACTGATGGATAAGCAATTCTTGTTCCTACATGCTCTGAGCTTGGCTTCACTGCTCTTTGAATCACTGCACTACAAAAAGCAAAACACTCAGGCTTCCTTAACAAGATAATCAGTTTCCAAAACAAAAGAAAGAGCACAGCTTTGTAGGATTTTGATCAGGTCTTAATGATTTTATTTTCTCCTAACTTACATATAAGGAAAAAAAGATACTAGCCTGTTCAGGCATTACCTGTGCTGCAAGGAGTTTCAACTCCATGTCCTTGATGAGGACAACAGCCTCTAAGGCTGTTGTCCTTAGAGAGACAACAGCCCCCCAGAGCCATGGAAGCCTGGAGAACTACGACTCTTTAGCTACTGTCCCTCTCCAAGCCATCATGGTGAGGAATTGTCAAGGCACAGGGCTTGAAGCAGCATTCATCACAGCCAGAAACATTGGGGTGTTTACTATCACAGTATTACTTCACAACCTAATGTGTGCTGGGATCCCATTACACCACTGGTTGTTAATAGCAAGGCTAAAAGCTCAGCTTCACAACTACAGGTTAAATTAAACCCAGAACTCCTGCTACCAATCCACTTTACTCGTTGGGAAAATCAGAAGTCACAGAGCACCACAGGAAATCTGCACAAAGCAGAGCAGATCTATGTGGTCCTGGTCACCAATTTTTGACAGGAGCCACCCCATCCCCCAAGACCTATGCAGATACACATGCCAAGGAGTTACAAGGCCAGCAGATGAGACAAGAGCAGAAAGCATGGAAGCTGCCATGCACCAGAATTCTCTGATAACACAGGTAATTAGTAGTGTGCAGAAACAAAAGGAAAGTACGGAGTGCTCTGGCTGGCACTATCCATGGAAAATTGTTTTGTTTGTGTCTACAAACTGCCTCTGAGCAGGGATAGATGCTCCTTCAGTATTTGGAGAAAGAATTGTGCAAGGGATGTTAATTTTGTTTTGAAAACTTGAAATTATAAAGAGTAGCTGGAAAGAACTGAATTTCTCCCTTTGTGTTACATAAAAACACTCTAGCAGGTTTTAGTGCTTGAGCTATTGTATCCTTTGAGCTGGAAGTCACCAGGTGACGCTAGGGTCTCCTGCAGGACCCAGGAAGAAGGCTGTCTGCAGACAATCTGTGTTTATCTCAAACACAGACTCTCCCAGCACCAGGGTAGAGACAGTGCATTGTCAAAACCTGTCCACAGTCTCACTGCACACTTTGTGCTCTGAGGCACAGGGGATGCTCTTGATTCACCTTACCTGATCGCACCAGAGGGAGTACTTGCTAGGCAAAAAAAAATATACCTTAATTTGGTTTAATTTTTATCTTTCCAGATCACAAAGGGAGATGTGTGAGTGTGCAGGTCCTACCCAAATGCCTGACGCCCTGGCAGACTGAGCCACAACCATGAAAGAAGTGGTCACAGAGGACCTGTTGTCCATTAAAGACTAATGAAGAATTTAGGCCAGCTCAGCCACAAATGTCCCTTCAGTGTGTTTGGCTGAACACAGGCATGGGTTGCACAGGGCCCTTGCTGCCTTGGCCTTTCACACAGCCAGCACGAGTGTGAGCGACATGAGTGCAGGCTCATGCCCTGGTGCCCCAGGATCCTAAAGGCCATGTGTATGTCCTGGGTGCTGGATGCCTTTCCCAAGGGTTCCCAGGCACAAAGCCAGCCCCCTGGCAAGGAAGGTTGTCACTGTACTCCTTTCTGCCATTACAGCAACACACTCAACCAGTCTTGCCTTAGAGGCTTTCCAGAGACCTTTCCTCACTCACCGTGTTTCTTCAGTGTCTGAAAAAGACCCTTCTGGACACCTAAATGCCCACAGCATCAAAACCTCCATGAATAATAATTTGAATTTTACGGGAAGTTAGATTTTAGGAAGCATTCAAAATGCTTCTCCCCCTTTCTCACCTTTGGTTTCTGTCCTTGAGAAATATGACTCTAAGACCTAGGATTTTACAGGCTTAGGCTTCACACACCTCTCATTTTGAAATTATTTTCCTTTTTGGTATTTGATGCTGTGAACAACTATCCTTGCTGGGAAGTCCATACTTTAAAATGTTTTCTGTATTAGAAAAAATGCCTGTGTTCTAGCTATGCTGGAAGTAATGTCTGCACTGCTGGAAGCTCAGAGCAAACACTCAAACCAGTAATTCTGTGTGACCTGGCTCAGGATGCCAGGAGCATGCTTCCCACCAGGCCAAGAAGCACCAGCTGAGAGATCCCTCCCATGTAAAATAGCCCACTGAGCTCTGCTATGCCTCACTGGAAACATCTGCTACGCCTCAGTGGAAACATCTGCTACACCTCAGTGGACTTTGCTGCTTTAGCACTGCTCCAGTGCCATGGACACGTCAATGTGAAGGGCTTACTTTGTTACTGCAGTCTGAGATCACAGTGTCCTGCTGGGCCTCAGTCTCCATGGGGCTGCTGAGCAGTGCATCATCTTCTGTACTGGCATTTGCTTCCCCCATCGTCCTTGCAGAAATTGTCATTTGTGGGGGCTGCCCAAATTTTATATTTTTGGCCAACTGTTGCTGAAAAACCAAGAAAAATAAAACAAACAAAATAGGTATTTATATTACAAGCAAAACAAGTCAAGTCCAGCAAGTGCCCCTTCTCTGCCTGAAAGCTGCACAGAAATATTCTGGGCAACTTCTGACTCTAGACAAAAAAACACCAAAACAACCATCCTGAGGCTCACATTGTTGCAACATGGTGGGCACTCTTTTTTCTTTCTCCCCACAAGGTGATTAAAGTGAGGAATTTACTACATGGCTTCTGATTTTGGATGATCAATCAAAGTTCCTGACAATGTTGCCAACTTTTGAAAATTTACTGTGAGTTTTAAAACACTTCATCTTTTTTTAAAATCTATGTTGTAGGTTAAAACTTTTGTTTATAAAAGCTAATTATGAAGCCTTATTGTTGTGAAGCTTAAGCTTATGAGAAAAGTGTATAGTGAGAAACTAAACTAACCCAAAAGGCAACCTTTTTCTTTTCTAGCCCCCAAACCCTGCATCTCATGCATTTGTATTTCTAAAAGGTATCCTTATTGTAATGTTTAATCATGAGTTTTAAATGCTAAGGGTTTGGCACAGCCCTGCCTTAGAGAAGCAAATTCTCAAAGCAGGGGAAACCCAGCTCTTTTAAATGCTTGCTCTCATAGGAAGAATATACAAACTCATGTCTGCTCATGCTCACGAGCCCTGCCACTCCCTGCTGTTGCACAAAGAAGTTTAGGCAGGGGACATGCAAGAGATGGATGGATGGATGGATAAAAAAAGCTTTCCCACCATTTATTTTCCATGTTGTAGCAATCTTCTGTCAAGGGTTACAAGGAAGTAACTCTTGAATTACATCAAGCATAAGATTAATAAAATAAGAAGCATGTACTAAGTGTCCTCTAGCAGGGTGAGTTAAAGGAATTACAGCCCTGGCTACTGCACAGACATGTACCACACAGACTTTGAATGTGAACTTTTTGCAAAATAGAGAAGGTCTCTAGAAGGAGCAAACGGAGCAAGGAACATTTATGAATATATTCTTTTCTGGAAATATTTCAGAGAATCATTCTCAATTAGGAAGGAAGGGACTGCGGAGTTATTTTCCTGCTTTGCTGTTTTTCAAGGACAGAAAATTCTCCAAAGGGAATCCCCCATTTTTGTCTTGTGATACTATGAATAAGTAATTCAACTGTGCAGCTTCTATTCAGGGGAAATGTCAGGTACTTACACAATACCCTAAGAGAAGTTTGCTGCTGAGAGCTGTGGAAGATTGGAGTAGATAGTAGGTAAAGCAAAGATTATTTTTTTTCTCCTACAGCATAGAATCAGTAACACAATGCACACGTGAGGATTTGTTAAGGAAAGATATCCTCTAAAGGAATTCAGGTCAATTAGTCTTTCTTGCCATAGTTCCCAGTGGGTTAGACTCTTATATCAAGTTTATCCATACTATCCCAAAAACATAGAGTTTTTGTTTGAAAGAGTTTTCTGTACTGAACCATTAAAACAAAAATTACATGCAAAACCTCCTCATAGTCAGGTTATTAAACTAGAATAACTTTTCTCAGTCTCCTCAGTGAGTCAGTAATTTATGCCCATTTGAATTCTGGCAGAAAGTAGTGAAATTCGAGTCCTAAAGCATTTTGGCATAATGGGCAGCTCTGAATGGCAAACTTTCATTCCCACCTGGATTACTGGCATAGTCTAAAGGCAAGGGTTTCACCAAGTCCATGCAGGCTTTTGTGTTAGCAGTGCAGCTCTCTGACTTGAAGTCGCACATGCTTCCATTGTGTACATGGGAGCTGGAAGGGGCAAAATGCTCTGTATGAGATCATGTGAGGCCTTTAATTCTGCTCTACTCTTGCAGGCCTTCTAAATATTAGAATCAGGATAAAGTCATTTCAGAAAAAAAAAAATCTTAATTTGATAGTGTATTTTCTAAGTTGAGATTGCTCTTTTCTTCTTCCTAAAGTCCTAGACAAATAATTCTCCCGGGCAGAAAACTGGAACTATCAGCATTGCTGAGCAACCACTAGGAAACTGAGGATCTGTGCATCTCTTCATGGTGGGAACATGCACACATTAACATTGCTTGCAGTGTGTTTTGGATGAAGGGATGGTATGTTACCCTTTTGATCTTCTGACAAGTTCTTAATAAAAGTGTGTGTTCAGTGGTGGGAGTTCAGTGGTGGAACTTTTATGGAGAAAAGTCTATGCTTGAAAAAGAATGGCCTTTTTAATTGCCATCAAGGGTGCTTGGGCGCTCTGCAGTAACAATGTATTTTTCTGTATATAAAAGTTTAAAATGTTATTTTCCTGGTATTTCCAAGAAATATACTATCCTCAATATTAAAGGACTGTACACAGTCGTGACTGTTTCTTGGTTTTTTTTTTTTTTTTTTTTTTTTTTTTTTTTTTTGTTTTGTTTTGTTTTTTTTTTTAAAAAAACAAAACCAAAGCTTTAAATATTTGTTTGCTCAGACTGGCATAAATTAGTTTGAAGACTGAGGAATTCTGGCAGAAAGTAGTGAACTCTAGTAACCCTCACCCTTTCAGAACAGAAGGTGATTCTCTGTATTATTTATTTATTGGCCTATTTTATCCTGATTTATCTTAAAAAACAAAAAGCTCCACTAGTAGTTCTCCACTGGCCAGTTTCTTTTGGTGCATTCTAATCTCTAAAGCTGACACTAAATACCAAATGAGCAAATGTCAAAATCTCAAATAGCTTATGGTAACTACTGAGCAAATTTATTCTTAATGCTTTTAGAGAGTAATGCTAAACCTGCTTCTTGGTCTTTTTTCAGAATGTGCTTATAATGTAATGCAATGCAATTACCCTCTCAGAAAAATTCCACACTGATGCATTTTCTACCTGGTCAATCATAAAAATTCTAAAAATGCATCATCCATAAAAAAAAATGAAACCCCCACAAATTTTACTTGGAAGAACATTCAAATAGTCTCACCCAGAAATGGAAATACACCAATTTTAGATGGAAGACCTCTGAGAAGAGGCCATAATCCCTGAAACGGAGCATCTGCTTTAAATTTCTCAGAAGTTTCAGTTAGACATATATTTCTGAACACAAAAGTATAAATCCTCTGTATTTAAGAATTCCCTGTGATGACAGTGTGTGGATGATTGTTGCCTAAGGAGGATTATTTGCAATGCCAGTCATTAGAAGTTGCAGGCATTGCATTTTGTTCTTCTGCCATTGCACAGTTGTGGCTAAATAGCCTTTTGAAAATCTCCACAGATGCATACTGGGCTCAGCCAAAGGACCTTGCTCTGTCTTGGTTTGTTCAAGAAGACTTGTAATTTAGCAGCCAGAAGCCACCATCTTGCTCTGAAATCTGTCAATGGGAGCAGAAGCAAACAGATGAACTTTCTGTGCCTGCACCTCCCACTTCCAGCCTTATCAATTCCAGTGGGAATTCCTGGTCCCTCAGTTTGCAGCCAGGGGACAAACATTTCCACAGGACCTACAAACCCTTCTCAGCCCCAAAACAGCTCAGCTACCACACACTACCTATACCATGGAGCAGGGGCTGGAGGCACCACACACAGGGGAGCGTTAGGATGAGATCCAAGCCAAGTTTACCTCATCCTCATCCACTTTTTTTTTTTTTTTCCTGGAAGATTCATGAAATTTCTATAAGATTCTTGATAGTTTTTCTATTCACACACAACCTGGGTGGCTTTCAGTGTGACAGTAAGGTCTGCACAGGTCTGCACATCCAATACAGACGAATAAATGCTAGGAATTTAGAAAAATAATTTTAAGTTTATATTCATCCAATTTTTAAAATCTTTCTTGGTAACTGGACCATGACACAAGCTCACTTCTATTTCATGCAAAATAATTTGCTAAAATGTGATACTACTTAGCTGACACCAGCTTCCCATTAATAACTTAAGGAATAAAGCTCCTAAGCAAAATTGTTCTGCGTTGTCTGGCACCTGCAGCTAATAAAAAAAAAAAAGCCCAGACTTTCAAAGCACTCTTTGCATTTGCATAGGAAATGCCACAGAACAAGTTTTCCATATTAATTGGCAAAGAGCCCAGATCAGGCTGTACATCTCCTCTCTCACTCCCATTTGGCTCCTCTTCTGTGTACATGCCTACTTGTCTGTCTGTTGAATTCAGGCCCCTGAAACTACATCACTCTTCGGGATTCTTGCCTGGACTGAATCCAAAACTGGATCTGCTGAGCTGCTTGCTCCCTTCAGTTAAAAACCATTAAAACAGAGTGTACTATTCCAGCTGATTCCATTCAAACAAGGCTTACAAGAAATGCTGGTCATAGTTCCCCTTCAGCTCAAAGATCTACTCTTCATATCTGCTTGCAATCCCTAAATATAACGAAAATTAATTGAAATTAAGTTTTCTAGTTTAATTGAAATTAAGTTTTCTAGTTATATATAAATGGAAAACAATGACTGAATTAATTGTCCTAAAAAGAGGCACACTGTTGAAATTCCACTTGATCCTGTACAGTCTCTCAGAATGATCCAAAAATCAAATGCCTTGGGAATACATAAGAACAGGGTGAGCCTATACTAAGCCCATACTTGTAAATGCCCCAATGATTTGTGGCATCTGAGGAATTTTTATACAGTCCAACTTTGCTTAAAGAAATATCTGTTTTGATTTGGAAGTATTACTGGTTTCAACTGTTGCTCATGTGTTCTCATGCTATGAAAGACTGAATAATTGTCCTCTATTCATTTTATCAATTCCACTCATGATTTTAAGGCATTTTACCATATTCTCTCTTATAATTTCTTTTCTAGGCTCAGAAGAGAGTTCACCTAATTCATGCTGAAGTATGGAAGTGAGTCCACTTCTTAATACAAACATATCTGCAGCATATCCAGACAAATCAAATACCCCACATAAGCTTTTTTAAAATCAGGAGAGAATAAACTGGAAAGCATCATGTGAAAAGTTATATTGGTATAGTTTTAGAAAATAATCCAGGTATAAAATTAACATGGAAACATAAAGAAAATTAGGAACATAACAAGTATTAGCACTGATGTTTTGGATACAAGATGCAGGGAGGAAATTATTCCACTCTCCATTGCTGGAGCAGCATGTGATTAGGGGCATTACACTTGTAGAAACTTTTTGAGAGAGTACAAAATAGAAAAACAGTGAAGGAGCAAACTCTACATGGGCCTCTAGAGATGTGTATTTGCAACAAATGCAGACATGAATGAAGATTTTGGTGCACAGTGGTGATGGATCACTTACACGTGCTCATGTGTAAAGAGAAGATTTTGTGGAGAGGCTTGAAGATTCAGCATCTGTGGCATTTGTCACATCAGTCTCTCCTAAAGTAGAGCAAATGCAAGGAAGGAAAATTTTCTTTCATTGGAAAGGAAGCTCATTTTCAGGGATTACTATGATCATAGGAACAAGAGGGTCTGCCCAAGAAATGCCTGAATGATTTAGAATAAATTATAAACTCAGTTTATAAAGCAAAAAGAATTTTTAAATATGAGGAAAACAATTTGGTTGCAGTGGCACTAGAAAATACTGGCAACAAAGCAATTATAAGAATTTATAATTCTTATAAGAAATACAAAGCTAGGCAATCATGAAGTGAAAAATCACTCCCAATGATGAAAAAATCAGACCATCATGGTAAAAGATAACAGTTTTGAGGTTTGAAAAACAGCTTTGTATCTTTGTTGAGATCTGGGCAATAAGAAACAGAAGATACATTGGGAGAGGCTGGTAGAATACAGATGTGCAATGCACAGTGTGGGAAGCACTGGCTTCGTATTAGCTAAGATATGCTAATGACTAAAAGAAATGTAATCCAAAACTGTACAGTCATAAGGTCTGACAAGGAGAAAATTATACAGGTCATTAATCATTATAAAATCAGGGAAATATTAATTTTAAAAATATTCCTTTTGCATTTGACTGAGAAGTTTGGATTCACAAAGAATGTTTTCTCATAATTCATATCTGTATAATAAATAGATGCTTTATAGCTTTACAGAGCAGAGAGGGTTTCTTTTAAACTACATGGCCACATGAAACAAAAAGGATGTAACCCAGTAGTTCCTAAAGGCCATAAGCCATATATCACAGTCAATCTTTAATATTTCTTGCAGCTGAGTGCTGCAGCCACACAGATGTCAGATGACCCAAGATAATTTCAGTGAAGGCAAGCAGTGGAGAACAAAGGCAGTAGCAGTGCCACACCATGGCATCATCACAGTAATTGGGAAAGAACAGTGTAGACGCTTCAGGAAACCAATGTTTTAAACAAGCTTCTATTTTGCTTGCTGTAGTTCTTATGAGTGTGAAATAAAAACTGTCTTCTGTTCATTTGCTGACCATTTCTGGCAAATATCAGATGTAGGAAGAAGAGTCACAGCTACAAAATGTCAGGGAATTGTTTTAAGACACTTTGATGGGAGGAGAAAACCCACCCAGTAACCTCAGGAAGGGAAGGATGTAAAGTGAAGCTCCAAGAGTTGGGTTGTGGGGTGTTTTCGGACACACTGCTAGATTTACAGTTTAAACATTCCTTGTGTCTCATTCACAGCCCTGGATGACAAGTAAAGCAACAGATCCCAGAAACTAAAAGAGTTCAACATTAGGAGTACCAGTGCCTGTGTAGCACCTCTTGCTGGGAGTAGGTTCAGGCTGGCTTTCTACCCTGGATCTTAAAAATTAGGTAATGATAAATCTCAGCAGTTCCAAAGAACAAGGAAAAGACTGCTTTTACAACACCAAATGGCTTCAGCCAACACAAAATAACTTCAGGATACGAAAGGGCTGCTGGAGGTTTATGAGAGACCAGGCTTTTCTCAGCCTGAGTTCTAGCACACAGCAAAACCTTTGAACATGACCAAATCTATTTACAGAAAGCATGATAAGATGAATACTGCCAATCTGAAAATCAATAAAACCAAATGAGAGCAATTCCAGAAAGATCTAATTTACCTTTCATGCATAATTAGAAAGAGAATTCCCACAACAAGCAGTTGAACCAGTGCACGGGCTGGCCAGCTGCCCAGATTACTACGGAGTTTGCACCATTACACAACATTTTTTGTGAATTCATCAACACTCTGAAGTCAGCAGAAATTAAAAGTAAGAAGGAAGAAACACTTAGGTGATCCCCAGCATGAGATCCAGCACCATCAGTATTAAATGGCTTGCACTGCTATTCTGACTTCAAAACCCTTTTCACCATGCTGTCTCTTAGGTTTGTAAGTGCGGGGATTTTCCAAAAAAATTATTTATGCTTTCCAGAAGATTTTCTTTTGACCTCCATCTGGAATGCAACAAGTTTAGAGTCAGAATGGGGCATGGAATTGTGGCAACAATTCCTTACTGAAGAGTACGTTGCCAGGTGAATGGGAATTGGAAGTGCTGCACTTCCACCCTGACATACAAGCCTGGAAAAGCCACAGTAGTGCTGGAGGCTGACCAGAATTGCCTTAAGGAGCAGAGAGCTCTTCAGAAGAGAGAACTGTCCCCTCTTAATCCACTGCTTTAAGAAATACAGATGTTCCCTGCTGGGTTAGATTGCAGAAAGGTTTCAAAGTTGATAGAAGCTTCTGGTATCAGGAGACAGAGCATCAACATTTTCTGTCACTGCAAAATCATATAGCAAACACTGGCTCATAGAATAGCAGGAAAAAAAGGATGGGGTATGTAGTGCATAAAACCTTCAAACAAGAATGATAGTCAAAATAACTCATTAGACCTAGGACTCAACTCTAAGGTAAATTTAAATTGTGCAATGGGATTTTGGCATGACTGTTTCCTAAAACTCAGGGAACAGTTGCAGAAGTCATGGCTAGAGAAATGGGAAAAGTTACATGGTGGGCAGCAATTTTTGAAGATACAAGAAGTGGTCCCTGGGCCTATTGCAGGGAGGCTTTTCATGGGTTTACAAAAAAAAAAATCCATGGACATTTAGATGAATATATGACTGTTCTGTGTCAACATGTAAATGCTGAAAAATGTCATTTGCACTCCTTATGCCTTCCTTTTCTGAATGAATAAGTGGCTCTCACCACCATCATCAGAGTTAAAAAATGAATCTGGTATGTTGCAGGCTGGGTTCCAGCTACACTAAAATGACAAAAATGAACTACCATCATTCAGTTTTAAATAAAAAGGCAAGCACATTTTTTACATCAAACAGCTGAAACAATATCGTCCCTTAAAATACATGCAATTAACCACACCAAAAAAAGGCTTATGCAAAGATCACATGAGCAAGACAGTACCACTGGCTATTTATTTTGTGACTTTCAAGGGTGACATTTTGCTCTTATTTTCTTGATTTAGCATTTGCTCAGTGAACATGGTTGTTACCCACTGCATTAACTATACTTTTTCTCAAGTGGCTTAGTTTAGCAAAGGCACTAATTTCCATTGAGAAATTTAAGCTGAGTTTTGATATGAGAGAAAACACCTCTGGGATGAAAAATTATTCTGAGTAAAGCTAGTATACAGAGACCAAGAAAACAAATCCAACAGATAGGGAGGGCACAGCTCCTTGAAGGAGTTGGTGAGCTTTGTAGGGCAGGCCCACATACCTCAGGTCTTTACCTGGAGCCAGCAGTCATTTGAAATATAATGGTTTCCAGCCTGGAAAATAGAATGCACTGAATCTACCTGACCCAGGGAAATTTAAGCTGAAAAGCCAGCACAGGGGAATTGGAGATGTCCTAGTGTGGCTTCTGCTTCAGAGCTCATCCACAGCCAGCATGGCCAGCACTGTGCAGGTGCTCTGTCTGCTGACAGCACCGGGCAGGAGGCAGCAACAATTCCATCCTGAAGGTCAGAGCTGTCCAATTTCAGGATCTCTCACTCACCAGGAAAGATGGATTGTGGGTGGACTTCAGAAGTAAGAGAAATCAATGGTATTTTGCTAGTCATCTTCAGGGTAACAGCACTTGCACAGCATTAAAAATTCATCAGCATTTTGACAGGATATGTCAGCACCCTGAACAATAAAGTGCAAAACGTTTCTGAAGGACAGCTCTCTCAAGGTCTAGAAAAGCATAAAGCTGGGGATCTTACAGATATACAGGGAGTAAAGCAAAAAATTAGTTCAAGCACTAATGGGAGAGAGTTCTGGAAAAGAAGGGAAAGTGGATCATATAAAGTTCTTTAGAAGCAAATATCCAAATATGTTGTTTATGCTTTGGAGAGATAAACAAATCCACCTTCCATGAAAACCATTGAAAGTGCAGTCAGAAAAAGGAGAAAAAAAATGTAATACATATAAACATATAATTAAATTGGTTTTGCAAATAAGTCTTATTTTGCATGCCATTCCCTGCCCTCAACACAACCTTCCTTTTTTCTCTCATTACCACATTTGTAGGACTGAGGCATACAGATCAGGACATGCCAAAACCATGAGCTCAATTCAGACGAGTCCCACAGGTGCAGATGTTTCTGCAGATGTTTACAGCATCACTGCTGTACCTTTCAAGACCAAAACCTGGAACTTCTGCAGAATATCTGAATTACTTGCAATGGCTTTTGGCCAGAGAACTTAACATGGCTGAGCAACTGTCCCAAGGCTACAGGAAAAGCACCCCATCTTTATGCACATTTAACATGTTCTGGAGACCATTTTCCATCACATTTTAAATATTTTTCCCACTTGCAATTTCTTACCTGAAGAATTTTGACTTTTCCTAAAACGTTCTCCTGTGACATTGCTTGAATGGCCTGTTCACTCTCTGTTCTCCCATCAGGTATGAAAATACTGTCATGGGAAAAAGCTCGACTGCCCATAGAATAATGGGAGGATCTGTGAAAGAAAACGGTCAACAAGTCAGTAAGTGCTGCAATTCATTTATGAGAGTGACTCTTCATATCATTGTTGTCCTGCTGTATGGATTCCTCCCCCCCACCTCTTGCCTTCTGCATAAAACCTTTGTACATTCTCAGTGGAGGGGTATCCAAACACTTATGGTTTTCAAAAGTTTAATGGAGGTGCATGATTCCTTTATATACAGTCTTCCTCCTTGGAAGGACCTAGAGTTGGGTGTTTTTAATAGGAGTGTTGAGAAGTTCAACTGATTTTGCTTGTAAGCCTCAATTCTAACTGCTTCTTTCAGGATACAGACTAGACGGTGATGATGCACACCTTGCCAGACTGCATATCTAAGAAAGTGCATTCATGCTTAGTGCCACTGCTTGGGAGTGACACACTGCCACTCCTGCTCAAAGAAAACAGCAGGTGCCAAGCAAAGGAAGATCTGTAACATAAAAAGAATTGTTACAGTGCAGGAAGCCACTTCCATAGAGCTGCCTCCTTTGGCTGATTACTCAGCGCTTCCTATGGCCATGAGCATGATAACACTGACAATAAAAGGTTGTCACCAAACCCCTAGACTGCCAAGAAGCTTGTTACACCAAGGTGTGTGTCCTTGATTAGCCACAAAGAGCAAGAAATGCCTGTGTGCTGCTGCTAAACTGAGCACTGATGCCAAGGAGGAGGGTGTGTCACAAATGAACCTGTTATATGGCTCTGATTGAAGTCCACAGGCAAAGGCATGAAATAAAAAGGGGTTTAATTTACCAGAAATTATTCTAATGAATTTAATTGTAAGAAAACTTAAAATTAAAAAAAAAAAAAAAAGGCTAGTAGTTTTGGGGGCACACTGAGGGAAAAATGCATCTGTTTGAAAGTCATGGTTTGTCTCACCTAGAATATCCCATGGTAAGTGAAAAGCCCATAATCTATAATCATGATAAAGCCACAATTTCAAAAACCAGAACAACTGCAAGATCCTAAATCTCTCCTTTTGATAACCTGTTGGCAACCTTATAGAACCCAATTATAGTTTCAGAAAACAATCTGGAGGGAAAAAATATAGTTTTGATATAGATCTATCCAACATAACCTTCTACATATGATAAAAACATTATAAATAAGTATTTCAGCAAAAGCAAGGCAGGTTATACTTCCAGAGAAAAACGTAAGTAAAAGAACAAAAAATCAGGTTTCACATATTTAAGATCAGTATATTAACTTTTCTGCCTTTTAAAATGTTCTAATTGTTCATGAAGTGTTCAAGATATTTCTATTCAAACTCTGGAAACAAATAAGTTGGAAATGTATTTATTACATTTTCATCTCATTTTTCCCTGAGGTATTTTAAGTACAAACAATAATCTTTTCTTACAAAGGGAGAGTGTCATATATGGTTACATAACCCTGTTGAAAGTGATCAGATGAGAGACTATTCTTGACTTTTATAACAGAATTTCTTGGAGGTAACCTGAAAATAACAGGATAAAAAGTCCCCCAAATCCTCTCCCTCTCTCTCATATATGTATAAAATACTTTTGCACTCACAAAATAATCAATCCAATTCTGGAGAGAGAACACACATAGTTCTCTGAATCGTTTAATCTTTCATACAATCACAGACTAACTGAAAAACCTCTTTTCATCCAGATTAATATTTGAGCAACATTCTTAATTTGAAACAAACCAACAAACAAGCAGGGAAAGAGGTGGTCAATATTCCACAACACTTTTAGCCACGGAAGAAGAGGAACATTTAACTGATGCCATATGCTATGTTAGATTTTTTTTATAAAACCCACAACTCGATTGCCTCTGGCTGTTAAAGGTAGTACACCTTTAAAGTTTCTTTTAGAAACCTTTTATTAGAAATCATAAAATTATATTTTTAAACTGCTTCTAAAAAGGTTTCTATACCAAATCACTGTGACTCAGTCAGAGCTGTGGGAAAATTGCATGGCAGTGAAATACCTCTGCCTTGCTGGGCCAGCCAGGAGTCAACCAGTGAAGCACAAGTTGAGAAGTGTCCCTTACACAGAGACAAATTCCTAGCAGGCCTGGAAACGAATGGCTTGACATGAAACAGAGTGAAAGTTGGCTTTTCTCATATAACTGTGTAGGTTTGTTTGAACAGAAAGCTCCAGAACTGCATTCAACAAGGTGGGAAGGACACACACAAAATCTGACAAACCAGCCCGTGGCAAGCCCTCCTGCACTTGCACTGTTCAGTGTGTGAGCCTGCTGCAGGTGCAGGAGGCAAGGCCAGTGGGAACTGGTTGTTTGCTATTTACCTTTGAGCTGAGAGATCTGCTGAGAATGCAGGTCCAGGTCATATTGTTCTCCAGAGAGGATCCTCTCTCAAATATTTTTCCAGCTATGCTGTGGCTCAGATACTTGAGTCTTGGTGTCACAGCTACTCACTGTGCATACAACACCATTCACTCCTTCTGCTGTCCAGTGGGTTGGGCTTCTCATACTTAAAATCAGACACCTCATGTATATTTGTGTTGTTTGTTACAACTAATTAGTAGGCAAGGGTTGCAATTCAGGCACCAAAGAGTTCAGTGACTTGTTTGGAAGCTGTTCATGACCTTACTAATGAATTGTTAATATTGAAGTTGGGAGCAGCCAACCTGCAGCTTTGAAACTGAAGAGAATTTGCCAGGAATTCAAACCCCAAAACTGCAGTTGACCAACAGCAGGAATACTCTGACTGTAGGAATTCCTGATAAAACCTGAATCTCTATGGAAGAAAAGAACAACTGCTGAGGTCAGTTCTGGTGGACTGCCTGGGTGAAAATCTTCCCCACCCTGCTGCAGACCTGAGGACACTTTTAGGGATTTTAGTCTCTCCTCCTGCCTGAAAAGTTGCCAAAATTTCATTTAAAGTCTCCTTTGGGGACACCAGCTCACACGAAGCAGCTTGGCAGCTCCATGTGACCTGCAACCATAAGTACACCACCACTGAAAATCCAGCTCTGTCTTTGACAAGTGCCCCCAATGGTACCAGTGGCAGGTTAGGACCGTGCTAAACATTTCCAGCATCTCCAGCATTCTCCCAGACACCAACTGCTCTACCTCTCTCTCTCTCTCTTCCCTTGTTACAAGGCACACACAATTTTGTTTTATAACAAAAGGGAGGACAAGTATCTGAAAGGTTTGTTTCAGTTTTTGTTTTCTTGTTGACTTTGTAATACAACACACTCCAAATTGTCAGAACATGAAACAGTCACAAGAAACCCCACAGAGAATTAATGCCAGACTGCTCTCTACTCTATCCTTTCAAAATGCTTTGCAAATATGCTGAATATTTAAGAAGTGGGTGAATGAGCAATTCTGCTAGCCACATGTCCAACAACTGGTAAAAATAGTTTAAGAATTTTGTTTAAATATCTATGTAGGCTAAAGAACATCGGAAAAAAGATATTCACACATCATAGTAACCTAGTTTCTTTTACAGGCAAGTTTAAATAGCAGTTAAGGTGATTTCCAAGCTACTTGTACTTTCTGAAAGGGCTCTTATTTTACTCCCTTGGAGCCCACAATCCTTTCACATTTTCCCAGTTGCGAATTTGACAGATTATATCACAAAGGTCCTTTTTCCACTCCATTTTTCACTTTGCTCATGCTCCACTTTTGGAAAGACTGAATTTCTTTTAAGTCATAATACAGTATGAATAATTGAGTTTCCCTTGCTGCTACCCATCTCTGAAGTTTTTCTCAGAAGTCTTTATACAATAACATCCTCACAATTCACATTTACAGACTGTTCTCCCTTCAGTTAAAAGGAATATCAGGAATGTCAATATCAGGAGTGGATTTCAACAAATTCACAGCCTGACAGAGATATGGGCTACAGTCACAGCCATAGCTGAAGGTGTTACAGTTTCAAACTTCCATATCACTTCCAAGAGATGTGGGAAAACAGGGGCATCAGTTTATGAGCACTTCTGTTGATAATTCCAGTGATGACACTTCAGAGGCTGTTTGTGCTGAAAATAGTTGAATCATCATCTGACTCACTTTCAGAAACCTGACTAAATTACATGAATTATGGATGTGCTATATCAAAATACAAAGCACTTTTAACAAATCCTTGAACATGTTCTCTCTGAAGATGTGTTGCAACCCAAATATCATGTTCCAGTTTCAATTGCAATATACAAATTTTCAAAACTATTTTTTTCATACTGAAAGCAAAGTTAAATTCCATTTACTCTTTATCTTTGTCCATTACTCATTCTTGCTGAGGTGCCTCTGTGTGCTAAGAAACTCAGAAGAAATGTGAAACAAATCTCTCCCAGTAGAATGTGACCACCCTGAGCCTACAGGAAAAGTCTTACTTCTGTCCCATGAAATGCAACAAACAGAGACCCTCTTTGGACCCTCCCTCAGCCATCTACTGCTATGGACCTATTTAGGATGTGATTTTCCATCAGTTCTAGGTACCTCAAGTCAGGACTGGGTGAGGTATCACACTTTCTTTATCCTCCTCTCCATGTGTTCCTATCACCTCTTTTGTGCCTTATTAGTGGTCATTGTTTGCATGAAATCCCCCCAAAACACTGGAACTCAAAAATCCACAGAAATTCCTGGTTCAGCTGAGCAAATCCTGACACAAGTTTCCATGCTAGCTGCGTATCTGGAGAGCTGTTGGAAAGAGTCAGACACCAATCAACATTTACTGCTGTGGGTCTGCACCCTTGACTACACCAGAGCATGTGCAGGGACACCACTTTTGCACAGAATGCAACATTATTGCATTGACACTGGTGGCTATAATGGTTTTAGACCCCATTTTTCTCCAGAGCTATTTCTTCTCTGAAAGACAAATGTGTGATCCTTTAAAAAGGGGAAGCTTTTCCAGAGAGGAGTACTGAGACCTCAGCTCTTATATAATCTCAGGCTGGTGCATTACCGGAGTACAGAAATCTCACACCACCAGTTGCCTCTTTAGTGTGTCATAAATGTTCCTCCCACTCTGATATTAAAGA